ATTTATATTGCTTACTATAGCTTTACATATGTAAGAATGAAATAGCTGCATTCTTTAGTACTGTCACCACTGACAGCCAAATTAACAGCAAATTGACTGTCAATGTTTACAATTTTTCCATACGTAAATTTTGTATACGTTGAAAAGAGACACATATTTCAATAGGAGTTTCGATAAATTGTGAAATACCTATGTAGTTGTTATTCCGTGCATGCGTGTGCAATAACTCTTTTTGTGTTAAAAAATAAATAAATATACGTAAGTTGTTATTAAGTTTCAAATTAAATTATATTTTTAGTTAATTTTCATTTCTATTGAGGTATTTTTAAATTCTAAAATATCCATGAACTGGAGAAACACGTACAGTAGAGCTTTTGAGAAGAGCAAGCATGGAATCAAGTGAAAATTGCTTTTCATAATTCAATATTTAATTATAAATTTGTTGCACCCCTTTTTTATATGTATGTATATTATTATAACTAATTAGAACTAAATTTTTTTTAATTTATTAAAGAAATAAAAATTGTATTATATACTGCGCAAAAGAATTTTTCACTTGTGATATAATGATTTCCGTATTTTCTCCTGACTTTAAACCGTTCAGGTTGGTCAAAATATAACATTTTAATAAAATTAAGTGGACAAGTTTTCTTAAAAATTATATGGTTTGATAGACTTACAGTCATAACTGACAAATTACAGCTATGATTGCTTTTCAGTCATAAATGACAAATTGCAGCTTTGATGGTTTTATGATCAGCAATAACTCAGAAAAAGGCATGAGAGTGAGCAGTAAAGATATATAGTGAATCAAAATATCTATGTGAATATCTATGTGTTAAAGGGAGATGCAAAATCACACATGCGTTTGTTGCATTAGTTTTTGCACAAGGCTCCTACGAAAATGATAGAAGCTTTGTTCTGCGCGCTGACAAAATTATTTCAGCTGGGACTGCCATATTACCGGTCAAATGACTGTCACTGTTCTTGTAGGGATATGTCATCTTCAAATATACTCGTACATATGCAAGTAGAGTTGTAAATAAGTTCATTGACATATTATTTGTACATTTACTTCTCAATCCTTCTCTAGCTACTACTTCAAAACACAAAGGGTTTGATAAGAATTCACACTTGTGTTTAGAGGCCGATAAGAAGTTGGCGTAAATAAATTTTATTTGATTGAAATTGTTTGCACATAATACTTGTACAACCAACATACAAATAAATTCTAAACAGGGAACATATATTTCATTCTAATTAGTGATATTTGGGCGGATCATTTCATTTCTATGTAATCAAGTTAAGGTAATAAATTTCCCTACTAAAATTTTTAAATTGTTTATAAAAATATGTAATAATTCCTATTGGTTTAGCGTTTTAAAAAAATTGAAGAATTGTCATTCTTAATTATAACAAGTAATTATAAGAAAACAATAAATTCTAGTAATTGATCTTTGACACTCAGAAATTAAATCTAAACAGCAATGCAATGATCTGTCGAATATCCAAAAATTCATAAAAAATGTATTCAAAATTTCCTTTGATGCATTTAGAGTGTCATATTTCCTTTACGATCATCTATATTTTTTGGACTTTTTGATTTAACAGCCTCTTTTGGAAGCCCACTGGGTTCTGCGTTTTCGGCCTTCGCCGGACCTAGTGAAAAGCCCTAGGTTTGACGCAATGACACTTAATGGCTCTCGGATGAAATTTTTGTGAAATAGGTCTCGTCGATAAACACATTGAGTTAACACTACTGAAGGACAATTCTGAATGTAAAGCGTTATTGTTCGACGTATTGATTCGGTATCAAGCGATTCATAGATAGAGTTGTACTAAATTGAGATTTCCAAAATATACGCAAACGGTTAGTAAGTGTCAAAATTATTTAAGAGGCACAGCTAGTGTAAAATTTCACTTTGAGTTTTTATACTATTGCAATATGTTGCTACAGAGTATAATAGTTTTGTTTACCTAACGGTTGTTTGTATCACCTAAAAATTATCGAGCTAGATATATGTTATGTATATATCAATGATCAGGATGGCGAAACGAGTTGAATTCCGAGTGACTGCTTGTCTGACCGTCTGTTCAAGCGACAACTTGAGTAAAAATTAAGATATCTTAATACACATGTTCTTTGGCAAAAAAGTAAAGACGGATTCGTACATGGGCGTAATCAGACTATTGCCATGGCCACAAAACGCCATTCATCGAAAACGTATACATTGCTATAACTACAATAAGCCGAAAATTAAGATACAGAACTCAAATGTGACACAACGAATCTCATTAAGAAGGGGCACCTGTGGATTGAAAATCTTTTGTCAAAAACTACTTACAGTGTGATAAATCAATAACTAAATGTGTCAGAGAAATTTAATTGTACATCCAGAATGGTACAAAGTACCAATCAATATAACGGGATAAAACATTGCACAAATAGTGCCTTTGAACTGTGCGACCTTATGATCAAAAATTGTCCAAATCGAACTAAAACTGTTCAAGCTTATAAGTACCGAATATGTGTGCCAGTGCCTACATTTGGCTTTTTACCGAAAATATCGGTCAATGTGTTAGATATATAATAAAAATTCGAAGAGAATCCTTTGCTGATAGTAATATGTCTGAATGTCAAAAATGTGTTGAATCGGGCCAATACTTCCCTTAGTCGCCATATACCTAATATAAATATTTTAGAACTTTCGGTTGACTTTATACCGCATATACATATGATCGATTACTATGTGAGCTATCTCAAAAAAAATGAGAAATTGTGTTTTTCTAATAACAGTGCTGCCTAAAATGTATAAAATTGGGTGAAAACTTGATCTAACCCCTATATAACTAATATCGACTAAATTCAAACATCCAGCTGACTTTACTCCATTTAATTTGTTGATGGAGCATTTTATTAGTATGTGGCAGATATTTTTTCATATATAAAATTACTTTAAAATATGTATATTTTACCGGAACAAATTAATGCAATCCCCATATAATGATTTCCGTATTTCCTCCTGACTTTAAACCGTTCAGGTTGGTCAAAATATAACATTTTAATGAAATTAAATGGAGAAGTGTTCATAAAAATTATGTGGCTTAGCGCTGAATTAGAATGGAATTGGCCTAAAGCTTGGTTTAAACCTCATATCCTTAATATAATGAATTCCGATCCTTTGGTTAACGTTTTCCACATCAATTCAATATATTAAATTTAGCCTCTTTCTTTTTAATTTATTGTTTTTAACCACGGAGTTGGCCACAATCACTGCAGTAGTGTAGGACCTTTTTTATTAAATTAAAAATAGCAAATAACACGCTAAAAATTTAATTCGGTATAAATATAAATATATCCTCAAATTACTAAAGCATTTCACGAGGTAGTTTCATTAAGAATTAATATTAGAATAGTCACATTTTTTAGGCTTCTAGGTGTACCCATTAATATTTACGTATTTTTCTAATAAATTTTATAAGTCAAAACATAAATAAAAATACCTAATCTGACCTATCCCAATTTCACACCTGTCATTCTTTATGAAGTGCTACACCTGTTTTTTACTTATCAGTTATCAGAAAATATTGTTAGTTTAGCTGCCGGCATCTACCTATCTCTTAAATAATGTTAAATTTTTTGTGCACACCTTATCTATGGTAAATAAGCAATAAAATTTAAATATATATTATGCGTGGGTACTCAACAATTAATTAATAAAATGTAAACTTTTTCGCATCGAAATGTCAAGGTGAAGGCTAAAAGTATTGACTATATATTCTATAATTACCTGGGAATGGGTAGCAAAACACGGCAAGCAAAAATTAAGTCACATATGCTTTAGTACACAACTATTTACGTAAATGCATATTTAATTTGTATAATAGCGCATACTAAAATGCGTACAATATGATTAATTGATCGCTTTCTTCAATTCACACCTTAAGGTCATGCGAACGCTTTACTAGGGCACCCGTTTATTAGACTGAGTAAAAATTGAGCTGAGAAATGAACGTAATTTCAAAATTATCAGGTGTGAATTAAGAAAGAAAGTGAATTAATTTCCTTATTAATACTGAAGTATATAGAAAAAGTATAATATTTTATAGGTATAAAAATTTTAAATCGAGTAAACATAGGATTTTTTTTTACTTTGCCAATTTTGTGACATTTATGCTGTGAATAGGGTTTTGGACATATGGTACAGAGACTGCGTCTTATAAGGACCATATTGTCTTGTCAATTTTGTAATACCTTTTCGAGTATACGATATTTACGCCAATGTACCGAACTTTCATGCCAAACACTTGTGATTTATTTGCCAGTTATCGCTCAATGAAATTATATACTCGTACCTCAAAAAAAACACCCATTACATAAATATGTACATGTAATAAATGTGTATAATAAGTATTATACCCGGAACAGGGTTTATTAAGTTTGCCACACAGTTTGTAACATAAAGAAAACGTCAGAGACCCTATAAAATATTTATATAAATGATCAGCGTGACGAGCTGAGTCTATTTAGCCATGTCCGTCTGTCTGTCTACGCTAACTAGGCCCTTAGGTTTTCAGATATCGCTCTGGAACCGCCGATATCTGATCCCTATAGCTTTTGTTATGTAGCTGCCATACAAAGTGAACAATCAAAATCAAGTTCTTGTATGGAAAATTACAATCGGATCACTATAACATATAGCTGCCATACGAACAGATGGATAAAAATGTAGTTCTTGTATGGAGACTTTTTTGTTTGTGAAGAGAATTTTACTTCGGTGAAACCAAAGTTAACGTTCTTTCTTGTTTATTAGACACTTACATAGTTCATTATACACATTGACACATACCATAAATATCTACACATATATAATTGTTTAGTAATATTTTTAAAGAAAAGCATAAAAAACATTCATCGACCACCCTAATATTTTATATAATTGTATTAATGCACTATTTATATACTTATTATACATATTATATTACCATTGTCATTACAGACAAGTAATTTTCTGTTTCTGCTCCTGCCACCAGTTTTGATATGTTTATTTAAGGAGTATGGGCGTTTCGTAACACCTGGTATACACGTGCTATGGGTTCTACTTATTATAGTGGGTTTAAGCTCAATGTACTTCCATGCAACGCTCAGTTTAATTGGCCAATTACTTGATGAGCTGGCGATTTTATGGGTTTTTATGGCTGCTTATTCTTTGTTCTTCCCAAAAAAATATTATCCAAAAGTCTTCCGTAATGACCGGTAAGTAAAAGAAAAACTCAAAAAATATGAACTCAGAAATATGCACACATATTATTATTTGTAAGTCTGTATAACTATATTTTGGGTATCAAACCTTTAGTTTATCTGGTCAACTCTTTTAGTAATCGGATCGTATTAAGACATATACTAGTCGATGGGTCATGTTATGTTAGCACGTTAGATTAAATTTGGAGGATGATTCCATAATATAAGGTCTTTTGAAAAGAAATGTATTATTTTTATATTAAATTGAAGGTTGTATTTATCACAGTTAAAATTATCTCATTTAGGTGAAATAAACATCTACTCTCATAGAAACCCCATTGGGACAGTCCATTTTCACAAGCTTCCCTTGATACGAATTTTCCATCAGCAAAATTATTCTGGCGAGTTAATATCGATGGGTGTAGAATCACGTTGTCCTGATGGAACCCAATTCTTCTCTTATCGGCCAATGCTAGCCACTTCTGGGCGACTGCTTACTTTAGATGATCCAATTGTTAACACTTTTCATCACCAGTAACTATCCATTTCAGAAATGGATCGATTTTATTGCGGTTCAGCAGCGATTCGCAGATAAAAATTCGGTCCACGAGATTTTCTGCATTAACCCGTGTGGCACCCGAGATTTTTTGTATCATTATTATTTAAATAGTATCACCATGTTTAGCTCCTTGGCAATCGAAACAGTGCTTACATGACGTTTGGATGACGATTTCCATTATTTTATCGATATTTTCGGTCTTCCAGAGCGTGATGCATCTTTGGCATCAAAACTACCGGTACGGAATCGACTTAACTAAAATTGCACATGATTGACTCCTACAGCATTAGGACACAGTTTAAGCCGTTTGGGTTGTGTTTTCGCCTTTATCGAAAAAAAACCTGTAAAATAATGTAATGTCGTATTTTCTCTGTACTGGTGTCCAATTACAAAACGTTTTTTTAGTACGAAATCTTATCTTTCTAACGCCATATTGAATAAGTCAATCGCATTTATACAACGCGAAATACAGATTACTAAAAGCGAGATCTATTGGAAAAATAATGGATTTCTTTTTACTAGACCTAATATATGATGATAAACTGACTAGTTGGAAACAAATGTTCGGTGGCAAGCAAATTTGGGAATATGTTTCACCGGTAAACTTGTGCTCGAAATTTTGTAAAAAAAAAACCTTTTTCGGACTAAGCTAAATAATTGTGGCACCCTTTGTATCTATAAATTTAAAATTTCATATTTTATATTTGTAATAATTGCAAAACAAAATATTAATATTGTTATAATTATTATTGATAGAAAATCATTCAGCGTGTTTATGTTTCTTTCGGCGATTTTCGCGACGGGCATGTCAATTTGGAAGCCCATAGTTAATGCTTTTGTACTAATGGCTATGGGCATGCCAACAATGATAATGATGTATCGTGAGCTGCAAAGGTAAGCGTTTTTTATAATAACTATGCTAAATGGTAACAATATTTCGAAACTCAGTGCAATTTTAGCGCTATAGTTAATAGTAAAGGTGATATATGCAGATAAATATAATTAATAATTACTATTATTATGATAAAATTTACGTTTTCTTGTAAACTTAAATCTAAATTAATATGCATAGGCATGTTGCCAAGATACATAATATTATATCGGTTGATTTACTTGCGAGATATCGAAAACGAAAAATTTCGGAAAAATCCTTTTTTTAAATTACTTCGAAACGACTTGACCGATCGATACCAAAAACTAATCAGTTCTAAACCTTGAGAAATCGTTAACGAAATAAATCACCAAAACTGATTAATCTTTGAGAAATTTGTGAAATAGTGTTATATTAAACGCCCATTAAACTCAAAAGCAGTGAAAATAGCGAAATTTGAACGTTAACGTATGAAATTAGCGGGAAGTTGCAGGGATGGCCCTTAAGGCCAACCGTTTTCCACATTTTTTTTTAATTAAACCACTTCCGCTTTTGAAAACAATAACACATTTTGTATTCACACATAACACGCAATGTGTTCTTGGAATTAATTGCAAGCAAGGTCATTGAATAAAAAAAGAATAAAAAGAAGGCAGGCAAAGCGCAGCTTATCAGCTCTCCGTCAAAGTTTGTCGGCTTACAAGGCTTATAACGATACATATACATACATACATATATACATAAAGGCATATATTGTAAATATTCCTAAGCAAACCCCAATTGTAAGAACACTAAATAAAATACTTAGTAAACAATTTCAGATTAGAAAGGATGTCATTACCAAATGAGCTTGATTATAACTATTATGAAAATGAGAGCAGCAAATTTAAACTGGCTTTTAAATAAATATTCTAAACTTAGCCTTGACGCCATTGAATTTTGAGTTGGTGAATTTAAACGCGATCATACGAGGCTTGAAAACCGCAACTATACCAGAAATCAGTGAGCAAGTTCATAATATTGTGAGTGAAGAACCAAGTTTGACTAAGCGTGAAACTTCAAATACCATAGCCATCTCAGACGAACGAGTACTTCATATTTTACATGAAGAATTACACATGAAAAAGCTGTTTGAAAAGTTAGTGCCGCACACGTTAACAATTCAACAAAAACTGGATCGAAAACAAATTTCCAGCATCATTTGGAGCGTTTTAAGCAGAATAAACCGTCGTTTTAAGCAGAATAAAACCGTCGTTTTTGCGTTGTTTATTACTATAGATGAGACTTGGATCTACCACCATGATCCTTAATTGAAACAAGAACGTTTATAGTGGACTGAAGGTGGTTGTTCAGCTCCAAAGCGTATTTCTGCCTTGCAATAAATATTTTAATTTTCTTCAAATTGTTGACAATTGATTCTATTTCAAAACATTCTAACGCAAGACCAGGCAAAATAAATGCAAACAATATATATTGTAGAAAATTGTTAGATTAACGTTTTTAAATTATATCCAAAATTTGAATAAAGGCACTTAAACATACATAGCGTCTGTGCAAGCACCAATTCATATTTGGTTTACCTTTATTGAATTCTTCTATAAGCGAGCTGGGATACATGTCCGAATGTCTATATTCCATTAACAAATCAACGAAAAGTTCGCAATATCGCGTGCAAAATTGCGAATATTCAATACAATTAATTGACCTTAACATAATTTATTTCTACACCTCAGTTCAATTAATATAAAAATCGCTGCAAATTTTTCAATGTTCTACAGTTAAGTGCATAAGCACCAAAAACTTATACATATGTAAATTATTTTATAGTATATACATTAGGATGGGTAAAAAAAATCGAAAATATTTTAATCTTGGTACTCTAAAAAATGGGTGCTTAGACACCTCTAAGAAAATCTCTCCAAATATGAGTATGAAGATCCTCCGCCCATCGTCCAAATTTGACACCGACTCCTATAAAACCCTCTCATACCATCTCGTATATAAAATTATATGTATCTGGCGCTTTTAGTTATAGATTTATCACACTTTTAATAGTTTCTAATAAAATCGTTACGTAGGGAGTGGGCGGGATTATAATCCGAATTCACCCATTTTCTCCGGGGGGTAGGGATGGCAAAAAGATTTACCCTGAGCGAACTTGGTTATTATAGTTTGAATGGTTTATATAAATTTAGTTTTTATTTTAAATTTTAAATTTAGTGCACAACATTATTTTGATGATCTTATGTTACAGTGTGAAACTGGCCCAATCGGAATACAGCCATTGATGCTTAAATAAAAGTACATCACCTCGTATCTACAAATTGTCGAAACCGAAGCCCCTAGATACCGAATATGTAGACCCTATTGCCTTGAATGTTTTTTATGATAACAATGTGTCCTTGTGCCCCAAAATGAGGTTAACGACTATTCTACTAGTCGGGCCTACTTTTATTTGAGAACTGTCAAAAGTAAATACAATCAGTTCAGCCATTTTCCTAGCTTCAATATAACCGATATAGTGATTAGCGATTTTCCAGCTATTTTGATGAAAACCATCTAGACCTTGGTCTTACTGGTTGAATTTGTCCTCGTATACCCAATATACCTATAAATAAAATTTAAACGTTTTGGGTTGGAAATCACATATTTTTCATTTCAGTTGATTAGGTTTATTTTAGTATCAGCTCTAATAAAAAGAAACCCATTATTTTTTCAATAGATGGCTTTGTTAATCAATATCTGGCGGTGTATAAGTACCATTCGGTTACACTATATGGCGCTAGAAAGGTAAGATCGTACTAAAAAAATCTGAAAATGTGAATAATGTTTATGGTCCTGATACGGTAGGAGTTAATTATGCGCAATTTTGGTTAAGTCTATTCCGTTCCGGTAATTTTGATGTCAAAAATATACCCTATGGAAGACTAGGTGTCGAAAATATCGATGATATTATTGGAAATCGTCGAGTCCGACCGTCATGTAAGCACTGTATCGATTGCCCAGGAGCTAAACATGGTACAAAAAATCGTTTGGTAGCATTTAAATACTTCAATACTACAACAATTGGTCAATGTATTGAATCTCAATAAATGTAAGACGATGTGCTTTTCCCGTAGATCTGTGCACCCCTCTTCTTATGTAATAAAACACCATATTCTAGAGCAAGTTTTAAACTATGTTGATTTGAGAGTTAATATGGACCCTAAGCTTAATTTCAGTCTTTATATTGATACCATGGTCTTGAAAGCAAAAGCTGTCCTCAGTTTTGTTAAACGTTGATCTAAAGAATTTAGAGATCCGTATATTACTAAAACACTTTATACAACTTTGGTTAGACCTATATTGGAATATGGCTCTGTGGTATGGAACCCTAGCTACCAAATCCATTCTGACAAGTTAGAATCGGTTCAAAAACAACTTTCACTTTTCGCCTTAGCGCATTTCCGATGGGATGCTAGGGTAAGTCTACCTCCATACACTAGTCGTTTAAAACTTATTAATCTACCTACACTTTCTAAAGTAACATATTCATATATTACTAAATTTAATATCCCGGTTCGCCTTTCGAGGCAGTTTAGACCTTTACTGCTAAAATCCTGTAGATAAATTTTGAACTAAACGAGCCATTCCGCCGTATATGTCATGATTTTAATTCTCATTCCAGCACATTTGACTTATCTCACTCACTTTTCAAAATTAAAAAGACTTTATTGTTTTCTCTTAATAAACGAAAATGTAACAATTTATTATATTGTAACTTTAGACCTTAGCTGTTGAAATTTTTGTTTCTGTAGCTGAGCAGTTTTAGAACTCAACACTTAAAAAACTCTCTTGCCTTTTCTGACTCGGCTAATTCCGCACGTATGCGGATTGCGCTCCTCGCGTCGGTTGGGCGGGAGGAGGGTAATCGTTGGGTTATTATTATTATTATGTGTAAGTGGGTATGTTTTTTTAAGCGTGCCATAATTACTACTTACTTTCCCCAGAATTAATATGAGATATATACTAATTTTTATTAAATATGGTATATTTTTTAGTAGTTATTTCATAGTAATTATTAAAGCAAGTAATGTTAACGACACTGGAGCGGAAGTGGATTTGATACCAAAAACGAACGCAGTCGGTTCGCAATTATGCCTTATAGAAACTATTAAACTTATGCAAAATTTATAACCACTAAATATATCACAAGCGTTTAATTCTTACAAGTTGGGGTTGTTATCGGCTGTGCCCGAACTTAGCCTTTTTTGCTTTGTTTTTTACTTTTCCTTTACGCACCGAAGGCAAAGAAAGTAATCGAATTTTATTAAGATAATATGCACATTGACCTATTATTAATAAGAATATCGAAAATCAATATATCTGTTATATGGAAGCTCGAGTAATTCTTGGAAGCTTGTGACCAATTTTCGGCTCCAAACTATTATGTATCTAAGAAAATATGTTCACTTAATTTTGTTAAGAACAAGGGCAAGTGCACGTTCGAACATCAATATATTAGGTGCATACATAAGCATGTGGGGCAACCGTAAGTACTGAACCTATTTTAACCATTATTTAGCTGCAGGTTTTATTTAATTAATTGATTAATATTTTCGGTATAAAGTCAGCCATAAACACTAAATTTCACATATAAGGTATCTAGAGTCCTCAGAAGTTATTGTCCGATTTCGATTTATAGGTGAGAGGTACCACACACACCTTCAAAACATTATTTGTAGAAAGTTTTATTCCGATATATTTACTTATGTTTGATTTATTCGTTTATTAATTCTATCACACTTTTAGTTTTCCGAAGATAGCTAATATATAATTTTAAATCCCATTCGAACATTTTTATACACTGAACAGGGCATACTCGTATTAAGTTTGGAACGAAATTTATAACACCCAGAGGGAATGTCGAACACCCTATAAAATATTGGGACATGGCTTTAACTTTAGTATGTAGCTGCCATACAAACTAAACAACCAAAATCAAGTTCAGATAGGTGCCATACAAATTGACCGGAATGGAAAACTTTTTTTTTTTTCTTGTTTATTCTTATTTATTTTCCTTTCATTGCAGTTATCTAACTCTTTTACTAATTTTTTTTAATACTTGTATGAAGCGCAATATTGTTTTATACAATTACTACAATTTTCTGTCGAAGCTTGCAATAAACATATAAAATGTAATAACTTTTTAAGAAAGTAAAAAAAAAGGTGCCGAAGTACGTATAAATGCATATATATGTATGTACATATAAGTATATATGTATGGTAATTAGTAGTTTATGGCTAAGAATAGCATGTTCATTATAATATAAGTGTAATTGTTATATTGTTAATTGTTACATTTTCACCTTTTACATAATTATTTCATATATGTAACATATGTGTGTTAATGTGTTTTACCTTTTGCTTTCAGAGTGCGAGATCAGCGTGTTTATCGGCTGGGCTTGCGTTGCACCGCCGTTTGGTTGATTGCAGTTTTCTGTTGGATCAACGACCGAATGTTCTGCGATGCTTGGTCGGCTATTAATTTTCCATATCTGCATGGTTTCTGGCATATATTCATATTCATCGCTGCATATACGGTTTTAGTTTTGTACGCGTACTTCTATGTCGAAAGCGAGCTGCCACAACGGCAACCGATGCTAAAGTATTGGCCTAAAAATGATTTCGAATTCGGCATACCATTCATATGCATACGAAATCCGGGCATGACCATCAAGAGTGCCATCTAAAAGAATAAAAACTTATGTACATACATGCGAGTATAAATACATATATTATATATATACATATACATAATTAGTTGCACCGAAGATGCGCTGCGTAGCAATTAGCAAGTATACCAAAAAGACAAACTAATAAGTATGTTATATATCAATTTTACAACACGTTTTTATTAGTGCAAAATTATTATGCATAAGTTGAAGTATGCATACATATATTTGTATGTATGTATATTTTCATATTTCAAAATAGCTTATAAGTATTACCTTTTGTAGCTGTGAAAGAACGAAATTATAGATTTAGATGCATTAAAGAGTGTAGGTACATAAATATAAACTGCATATGTGATGCCAAATTTAATTGTATTCGTCTTGACACTTGGCAGTTGTAAATGAAAGCAATTAGTTTTTTCTAAAAATATCTACCCTTTAATAAGAATCACTATATTTTCCATATAAAGTTGCGGTGAATGTATAAGCTTGTGGTTAAACTGTGCAAAAGTGTCGCCTTAATTTCTAATAATTGGCTTAAATATTATATAAATGTCTTATTTAAAATATCATTTAGTTGTTAATATATATTATATTGTATAAACTTTTGTTTTTCTTTTTCCAATACTTAAGTTTATGTGTTACTAATTAGTATGCAATGTATAGCGTTATTTTAAGAAATCCAATAATTAATTAATTTATTAGAACAGCTATTACATTGTGCTCAAACCAAATACTAAATTAGTTGTTTAACAATAAAATGCATATAAGTATATGTTTCTAGCATCACGCTGATACTGATTGCATGTATATCGTCCTAATCAGAGTTGCGAATTTTTTCATAAAAAAAATTTATTTAAAATCTAGATTTCAAACTTTTAATTCCAATTTTGGGATTAAAAAAAATAAATATTTTCAATGTTTTTCGATTCAAAACTTAAAATTTTATTCCAAAATGTTAGGTTAAACATTAAATTTTCTATTAAGATTTTTATTTATTTTTAATTGAAAACATCTTAGATTAAAAATTTGAATATCTGAATGAGAATTTAATTTTTCAAAATGAAAAATCTTGGATTAAAAATTTGTTTTTCTAAATAAGAATTAAATTTTTTTTTTCTATTTGGAAAAAAAAATTTTAATTCGAGATTTTTGGATTAAAAATTTCAAAAATATTTTTTAATTTAAAAACTTCAATCACAGATAAAAAAAAAATTTCAAATTGAAAGGGAATAAAGGGAGAAGGGAAAGGAAAGATTTGAATATTTCTAACTCAAACACTATGATTAAAAACAATTAAATAAAACAAAAACTGTTAAACTAGTTGAGTTTTTTTTTAAATGAAGATTTCATTTTCAAAAGTTTACCAAAATGTTAAGAAAAAAGAAAAAAACACACAAAGCTTTAATTACAAAGATGAGTTTAATATTTTCTTTTTATTTTTATTTTTCAAACCAAATTTCATTTAGATTTTTAATCCTAAATACCGGTTTGAAAAATAAGCTTTTGGAATTTCGTTTTTTATTTTTATTTTGTTTTTTATTTTTATTTTATTCTAAAAAATTATTTTTAATTCACATTTTCGAGATTAACAAATAAAAAAATTAAATTTAGCTCAAATGTTATTTCAATTATTTTTATTGCATTATTTGCAACCCTCCTCTTAATATTATATTACATTTTATAATTTTTTAGAAAAATTACCAAAAATCATTTTTACGGAAAAATTTTGAATTAAAATCGATTGTGATATTCCTTTAATTATTATTTTTACAATAATTACTTATACATATAAAAAAATATATGCAAATAATAAGGCAAAATGTTTATAGAGCTCTCTCATATATATTGTAAAATGTGTGATTGAATCCATTAAGTTCCTAAGGTTTATAGTGAAGATTACAAAACTTGCTGTTCATTCTTTTAGCTACTATAACTAAAATTTAGAGCTTACTGAATAAGTTTTAGCAATATTTGAAAAATTCATTATTTGATGTTCCACAATACTGTACGAATTACTTAATTTTACCCACATCTGCATTCCACTCATTAATTTTTATGCAGTTGATAAAGACCATTTCTTATATCTTTTATTGCTTACATTTATAATTCGAACATATAAACTATTTATATCTAAAAACGAAATTAAAGCTATAATATTACATATAAATTCTAAAACGGTTAACAATTCAAAATTCTCTTTATGCCAAGCCACTCTCATAATAAGTTAAAATTGTCAATTTGTTGTTACATTTTAATTTACCTTTGCTCACCGCTTCTCTTCGTGAAATATCTTATCAACATTGAATAAATTTCCGGGGCTTCTCTACAATTTTTCACAAGTTAGTCAATACAAAAGAGCAAGCAAAAAGAGTCAATCTTTTTTGACGATATCACTAAAAACATTTAAACTACGATACCAATTCAGCTTTTCTAGAAATGTAGAAAGGTGGCACTGATAAATGATAAGTTTCGATAAGGTCAAAATTATAACAAAAAATGAAGCTGAGAGATTCTTAGATTATTAAATAACAAAACTTTCGAATTCTACATATACTATATACTATTCAATAAGGGCTAGTTATTCTCACTTTAAAGCACTGAATCCCTTTGACTATCATAGCCAAGGGGGTTAAATATCAATCATTGAGTTGTTAGTAGGATAAAATAATAACTTAACAATTTTGAAAATAATTTGCACTCTACTATAAATTATAAAGAGAGACATCTCAAAGTGGTGTTAAAGTTCTGGTAAAAATGTTAGATATACATTTTTTTAATATCTTCATAATTTCAGATCTGAAATAGATATACAATAATAATATACGAGTAAATACATTGCTTTTCGATAAATATTTTTGCAAACAAAATAAATTAATATCCACTTCTGCCCTCTTCTGCATACCAACTCGGTTTAAAAATTAAAAAAAGAAATCCTTTTCGTATCAAAATCAAACTAAAAAATTCATTTTGATTCCGATAAGTTTAATTGAATCAAAATCCGGAACATCTTCCATAAAGATTATCAAGATTATAATGGACTCATCAATTTTTTTGTTTGTTTTTTTATTTGTGCTATTTTTCCATAATTTATTATCCCTTCCTCTGGTGGTAGCTCAATTTTTTTGATTACAAGATTACAATTCACACTTATAGACATCATGCTATTATAAAAGTATGCTTGGCTATCAAAGTAATGTACTCTTCTTATAAATCTGCAAACAAATGCATTATAGTATCTCTAAATGATTATGAAAATGTGGCAGTATATGGACCACATATAAAATATAGAAATATGCTATGCATATTTATCAGCTAATCAGGCGACTCGTACACATTTAATAGACTCTTTAATAGCTTACAAGTAGGAAAAAGAAGCAAACGGCTTGTGATGTAAACCAAATATCAATTTTACTAAGAATATTAAACAAAATATACACACAAACATATAACTAGTAAATATATAAAGAAATATTAATAAATTCGATGATTAAGTTGTTAAAATCGAAAACGAATTAAAATTAGAATATGATTAAAATTTAATTAAATAAGTAGCGCCAAATATTACATAATTACACAAATACTTATATAGGTATTACATATGTATGCTTTATATTAGAAAAAAATATTTCATATTTTTTACATAAAAGTTTAATTTACTTTTTTTTTTTACTTACATGTATACCTTGTTTATTTGTTTTATATATGTATAACTTGGTAAAAAAAAGGTTGTGTTTAACAAATATTTAGTTGTGAAATTTACATTACCTCATCTGAATAGACATGATGCACCATTAAACGGTAGGCAAGTATTAGGATTAATTTTTTTTTAATTATTCCTAACCGTTTAATTTCGCATACTGTAATATAAAAGTATATTAGGAAAATATAATAATAATTTAACGATTTCAAACCTACTGTGTATGCCTATTTATGTAGAATCAATGAAACTTTCAATAAAACAATATTTTTTTCATAATGCAAAATTTCTACTGTGTATTTTCATACCCGTAACAGGGTATATTAAGTTTGCCACGAAGTTTGTAACACTCAAAAGGAAACGTCGGAAACCTCATCTACCCTAATGAATATTACAAAGAGAATATTTTTGGTTGTTTGTTTGTTTGAATTGATTAGGCTCCGAGCTACTTTACGGATTTGAAAAATTCTTTCACCGTTGGGAAGCTACACTGTCTTAGGTGAACATGGGCTACAATATATTTTCAAAAAAAATTAGGGGTCCTTACTAAAACGCTAATACTATAACGCAAGGTGTAAAAAATTACCTAAAAAATGTCTAACATCGCGTGCGCTGCGAATACTATTGATTATAGAACAAAATAATGTACTACGACTTTGCAGAACATACAATTATCTACAAACAAGTAAGGAAGGGCTAAGTTCGAGTGTAACCTGCAGGTGTTGGCAAAACTTTATATTAAGAAATGTAGCGAAAAGGTTCAACTTCATTGTTCGACGAAATGGTGAATGGATTACTTTCAAATTTGGAACAGATTAATCAGATTTGGTGGAATATATATCTCACAAATTGCCCGAAATTTTTTTCAAAAATTTAGCCATGAGTTCTGTGGTCCACATTTCCGGTATCTGGGGGCTTGAAAAGTTGTGGTATATAGAATATTCGTGCAGATTTCTAAATCCAACTAATAAATATGTGCTTGATTTGCATACTAGAAAGTGAGAGGATCAGATGGAATTTAAAGTTGTGTTATATGGGAAGTAGGCGCGGTTACTTTTTATTTCTTTTGTTACATGGGAATGTCAAAATAATCTTATGCACGGAATTTGGTTGAGTATGTTCGGAGATATGTAATTTCACCTAAATTTAGGCATTGTCCAATTTTGACACCTGCTCCTATAAAGCTCTTTTGCGTCATCTCGGACGTAAAATTTAACGTCTCTGACTCATTTCGCTATTGATTTATCGCAGTTTAAGTAGTTTTTAACAAAACCGTTATATGGAGACCGATTTAACTTATTTTTATGCTATATAGTTAGAATAGTTCGGGAGATATATACATTAAACCTAATAACAACATTAAACCTAGTAGTAACATGTTGCAAGAGTATTAAAATGTCGCGACAGCATATGTCTAACTGTTATAGTTACGTCACAATAAGTATTCATTAATAAAAAAATAATAATAATTAAAATACCGACTCTGTAAAAGCTCTTTATCTATACCTTGAAATTAATCCTTATTGAAATTATTTACTTCATCTTTAGTTATTCAAAAACTTTATATAACTTTGTGAGTTATTGTGTTCGGGCAGTGCATTCGAAAGATATCACGAATTTAAAAATATAGGTATTAGAAAACAGTCGCGTGGTGAACGGCGATCCGCTCGGCTAGGCTGAAACATAGTATGCGATGTAGGAGTCATTGGGGCACTGTCGAGAAATAAAAAGCAGCGCGGCTCACTCGCGTCGTTAAATAATATTAACTGTTCGATCTTTATTTCTCATCGTTTATATGAGGTCCTCTTCTCTCAAGTATGATGGTAAATGGAGTTATCTGCTATTAAAATATATGTATATGCATATGTAGATAAATGATCAGCATGATGAGCTGTGACGGATATTATAGCGTTATAGTATTTAAACCGGTTTTTTTGTTTTTTTTTTCTATAGCTGTAGTGGGTGAGCAAAAAATCATCTATATATCAATATTAAACGAAAAACACAGCAGATAAAAAACTATGATTTTATGCACCACATAATAATTTAAACAAAGAGGTAGTTGTCTCAAGATTGAGCCAACAAATTTCTCAACTTAACTTTAGATAACAGTAACAAGTTCTCTTACCTAGTTTTTATGGCGATTGGAAATTTGACATTTTATGATTCAAAAATTTAATGTAAAGTAAAAAGTTTTTTTATATATAACAAATAATATCACTAAAATTTTATAAAAATTATATTTCTTATTTAAGCCAACTTCAACATGAATTATCACACTGCAAAAATTGTATTCGATTCCAGTTTCCTGCAAACCTGTTCTTTCTATTGGAAGCAAAGGCAAACCTGCGAATGTCAAGTTACATAAAATAAGTAGTTGAGCTACAGTATGTAAATGATAAATTTGTCGAGGCGAATTGATTTTGTACAAGTGTTTCTTAGTACACTGAGTTTGAATTTTTTTATGGAAATCAGCCTGTTATCACGCCCCAAACAAACTTAACTCAAAATTTTGTAAAAATTTTGTACTTACTTGTAGTTCCAGACTTTAATTGATATCTACCAATTGATAACTCTGTCCCATTGTATGTATCTGTCCATATGGGAGATAACTTAATGGAATTATGTAGCATATTTTATTTCTCTTTTTTTCCCGGAACGTTTATTTCGTGTATTCTTTGTATATTGCTTCACAAGGGAAAATCTGTTGTATTGCTGTTGTTGTTGTTATTACGACTGCAAGTAGGGTTTAGTCGAAAAACGTGTTTTCAGCCTTTGGCCGGATAAAATCCCATGCCATTATTCACAGCAGATATGAGTTCAGATATCAAATATGGCACATGACTACTTTCTGAGGAATTCTTTGTAATCCTAAATTAATTAAGAAATTCTTAAATTCTACAAATATTTTTTATGTTCTACTAATCTTTCTTAATCACATATCAATGAGATTAGACACCCATATTACAGCGTATTATAATGTACGACAGGGGTCTGGGTAATCGTTACAACAACGATCAGCAATCTTTGATTACATGAATTAATGGTCATCTTTAATGCATATAAGATGAGTATATATAATAAAATAATAATAATATTTAATCTGAAACTGAAGCTACAGCAGAGTCTAATCAATATATTAATCTAACACGGACCAAACAAAGGCAATCATTGTTGATAATTATGTAGATAGTAGAAAACCAAATGGAATTGTAAAAATACTACATATTATTTTTTGTTTATATTTTAGTGTTGTATTTTCCCTTAACTAACATTAATTAAATTCATATTCACAATTCAATTCGAGACTTGCGGTCTCCTGGCAGTATTAGTCGGAATCAGAAGAGATGTTAGTGCAAGAAGTTTTAGCTGAGCGTTTCATTTGCATGCTTTGATAATAGCCATTATGATTGTATGGCCCACGATAACTAACGGAATTTTTATCAGTTTCATAGATCTTTACTTCGTACAGCAGTTCTGGACGTTTCAAATGTTGTCGTACATTATCCCAAATGTAAACACAGACATTCTCCGTAGTACTGGGCTAATGTGAAATATTTTGTATATAAAAAAATATATATATTAATTTTATAATAATTGAAGTACTTTTAAAATACTTACAGCTTTTTTGAAGAAATCTACATCTAAGTCCAAATTTTTGTGATCCAAATCCTTGAACACAACTTTGTCTAACGCAGTCTTCAATTCCGTAATATTCATTACCATACCTGTGCGCATATCAATGGGTCCACGCACTGTTACCTCAACTGAAAATAATAAAGAATACATCGTACACCATTAGTATAACATATATATGCTGGCAAAATCTCAAAAAGTACTTATTCAAAATATTTAATTTAACATTAATTTCTGTGCATATGTATATAAAATATATCTAAATAAGTATAAATAAAATATTCAACTCAATTGTTCTGACATCTGTTCTGTGTATATATCTCGTTCATTACAGATCGACCAAAATCCAGTTCTTGTATGGAAAAGTTTTTTAGTTTTGAAATATCTTCACGAAATTTGGTATGACTTGTTGCCCAAGGTCACGGTACATGCCCGAAAAAAACTTTGCAGTTAGGTCCTATTGTATAAACTATCATATAATCTCATCGATCAAAATCCAGTATTTGTACGGAACTTTTTTAGTGTTGAAAGTGTTTTTTATTCACGAAATTTGTCATGGAACACTTTCCAAGCCAACGGTACAATCTCCGAAGAAATTGTTCATATCGGCTATATTAATAGCTGTTATACAAACTGAACGATCAAAAGCAAGTTCTTGTAGGGAATCATTACTATTTGTGAGGGTATTCTAGCTTCGGTGCAATCGAAGTTACTGTGTTTTCTTTGTTTTAACATATAATTACCGGTGTAATTGTGTCCATGTCCGTTTATGTGATTACACTTCCCAAAGACTTCAGCATTTTCTGCGTCACTTAGATGAGGGCTAAAAAGAGTGAATAAAAAAGCTGTCAATTTATAACAAATAAATATTTATTAAGGATTACAAATATATGTATGTACTAAACATTAACAATAAATATAAATTGCTTTCAATTTACCTCGAATTGAAGCCCCAAAAGTTATAAAATTACAGTTTGCGGTTTATCAGAATGAAAATGAAGTGCTGTCTATATTTACATTTGCAGCAATGTACATACATATATATACATGTAAGTATGTACTTTGTGTATATACTGAAGACGCTGCTTTAAATTGAATATAAACATACTTATAAAGCGATTTTCATTTTAATAATGCCCCACCTTACATATGTGTTTATTGAACAAAACAAAAATGTCGAGAGTCAATCATAAGATCGCCGTCGCTTATCAAGGTTAACATTTCGATTCACCCAAGAACGTTGACGTAGTAGACAACTTTAACCGCATCACAAGCTACGCTGCTATGAATATTATACTTATGTACTGTACGTAGTAAATATGGAGATGTATACATTTGTAGGCATTTTTTTTATTATTTATTAATGTATGTACGTAGCAATTTACAAATATATTTCCTTACCTGTGCAAGCGATGGCAAGCGCTGAATGTTTCTTTGCGTGTAAGGAATGCAACAGGTTGTGACATTTTCACAATACAATTACAACGATTTATCAAAACCACTTCAGTTAACTGCGGTGTGGTGTGGGTAAAGCGGAAGTTGATAAAAGATTTTAATTTGTTATTGTAAATCTGCGTTTGGTATGTTGATGGCTATTGAAAACAATAACGAAAAATCGTTTATTAGTATGTTGAAATTAAAAAAGTATAATATATAAATTACCTGTACAGCAGATGAAAACACACTTGATATTTCTTATAATAATATAAACTTTAGCTAATTGGAGAATAGCGTACGAAAACAAAACTTGACCAGAGCAGAGTATGTAACTGAATTCTCCGACTTCACTGTCGACTGCAATGTCACGAATGTAATGTTGACGATTGGTAAATGAAGCTGCCATATTTATAAACGACAAGATTGCGGAGCTGGCGATACATAAAGTAACGACGGCCAATTAACATTTCACTCAACGGCAGTAAAAATACTCAAAACTGATGCACATTCATAATTCATGTAGCCCGATTTTTTGTTTGTCGTTTCATATTTAGTTTTTTGTTTCATGTAATAATACACACAATTGCTATATTTACACATTTGGTGGAAGAATATCGAAAAAAAATTATTTTCAAATTTTACTGTGCTTGAATTGTGTTTAGCGTTACCGTATCGTTGAGTGACTACCAGCGCAGCGTTATTTGCATCTTGTGTAATGGTATAACTCGTGTTTGAGAAATAGGTAGAATACACAATATCACTCAAACACAGAGAGCTCACCTCGACTGCTATAAAATTATTAATATACAAGTAATAAACGTTACTTTAGTATGGTGATTATGGATAAGTCTACGAATTAGAGCTGAACGTGGTATTTCAAAATTACGTTCAATACCACTCTAAGTTATAGACAACCCAGCAAGACACGGCTACGGAAACTCCAATACGGCCGCGGAAACTAACAAAAATTCCGTGCAACTCCTAATGCCTATGCGTAAAAAAGAGATGAAAGATCAGACATAAACAAGAGTTTCGAATAGAATTGTCTATATAGAAACTTAATAATCTCTGGTAGCGCTGTTGGGCAATTAACCAGTGATTTAACTGGAGTGGATTGCAGGGAAGTAAAGGGAGTCGAAACCGTGCATAAAATGCGAAAGTACTATAAAGAAACACCAATTAAAAATCTTTTTAAACGGGTGGTTGAAGATGAGTACCATTTTAAACTATTTTTTATAAAGATTTTTATTTTTTAATAGATAAATAAATGGTATACAATTGTATTTAACATTTTGGATGTAAACCTTTTATTTATTTATTTAATACACGTACGCCAATACGGCATTATACAATAGTAATAATTATATAAAATGTAAATAAAGGGGAAAAGAAAAATATTGAGTTGCTGGAGTTGCTACATTTTATTTTTATATAGATTTGTTCAAAGTTGTTATCAAGGATGGAGACACTCTCAGCGTGTATATAGTTTTTCGTAGCGATAAAAACACCTCCCCCCGTTCATTGTCACTAGTTGAGCTGCTTCTGTCCTTTCTAAAGATATTAAGAGAATCGTCTATAACTTCCCCGTCGCATTGAGCCATGATTCACTGATGCAGAAAAGTACTACTAATTGCTGCCGCTGTTTGAAAGTTTCCAAGTTTGGTGTTGAGCCCTCTCACGTTCTGATAGTGAAGATGCATTATTGCCTGAGTTGCCTTTATCGTTGACCGGGCGAAAATTCTTATTGACTAGTTTCGGAACTCCATTAACGTACTTTATAGTTTTTGAAGAATCGCTATTTTTTATCAAAGCATCAAGCTGGTCTCGAAAGTTTTTAATATGTAATTGCTGTGCGGGAGTGTGATTTGACTTACCTGTGGCTTGGATTTTAGTATAGCGCGAGCAATAGTTGGAGAAGGAGTTTCTACCAAGAGTGGACGGTTACGGCCGGCAGCTGGTCGACCTAGACGGCGGAGTCTAAAGTTGACTATGTTAGCAGCTAGGTCAGGATGTAGTACAGTGCCGATGCTGGTCCCGTTATCCTCGGAACGTTCCTTGCTATCAGCTTTTTTAGATTCGTTAATGTTTAATATAATATAACAACGTTAGACTCACGTCTTTTGCGCTCAGTAAATTCGGCAATAACATCTGCTGGAGCAGGAGCTCTAGAAAAAGATTTGAGTTTATTTTCCACCGAAGTTAGTCTGTTTTCATAGCCAACACATTTTTCGCTTGTGTGTTTGCATTGCTTTGATAAATTTGCAACGTCCTTCCTGACGTCAGCGATACTTTTCTCCACTATCGACTTGAAATTGTCAAATTTCTTTTCAAAGGTTATGGTGAGTTTCGAGAGCTGGTCATTAAGCAGAAGTTTAAGTTTCTGCATGGTGATGTTTTCGTCCTCGTCGTCACCATCATCAATGTTACTGTCGCACTCAGTGATGACGCTATCCTCCAATATACATGCGTCGCATTTCCAGTTGAATCCCTGTTGTTTTATCTTAGTAGCTAGTTTAACAAATTCCGATCTGGAAAGCCGTGTACACTTGGAGTGGGTCCATGTATGGCATTTTGTACAAAGAACACTTGGAGATTTCGCTCCAACAGTGGTTTTACATACACCTGTACACATCCACATACATACATGTGTGCCGCAGAGATGTGATTCTTTTTGGAGGCATTGCTTGTCAAATTCGGTTGTAAGTATTCACAAAGTAAATTAACTAGATAAACACTGCAATTATTAAACACAATACAAAACAAATATATATATAGCTTTCAAAGCTTTAATTATGCTTTAAATAAACCACTTTTGATATATATTTTATCGTTTGTATAATTTTCTTTAATCTTTACAGAAAAAATTGCGAATTTAAATACGTGTTTCTCTTACGGCTCAGTACGGTTATCAATATACTAATATATATTAAGAAATTTTTTAAATCTAAATTTAATGGTTAGATTTATATCACTTTCATTGTTTTTGAACAATTCCGTTATTATGCATTGCTAATTAACCTTGATGAAGAAACGAGTTTTTGCACTTTTACTCTTATTAAACGTTATGAAGTGTTAGTTTAAATTAGGATTATAAATATTTTTTTGTTTTGCCAGTTTTGACGGGACGAAAATGGGAAAAACAATAAAGTTATAATTTTAAAAATTAACCCATTCCAAACTTGCGGCGCTATCAGTAATGCTTTAAGATTCATCTAAAATCATTTGAACAAAAAAATTTGCGTTTTTAATTAGATAAACTAGTGCCTGATCAAAGTTTTTTTTATTAACAAAATGGCGGCCTCAGGAAATTTTTTTTGAGATTTTCAGGAATAACTAATAGTTAATTGTTTATAAAAAATCGAAATAAAAAAAAATATCCTTCTATCAGGCACTAGTTTTTCATATTTTCAAAAAGTTATATTTACTTTAAATTTCAGAGAATATTTGTAAGATATTAATTACAGAAAACGCCAAAAAAATTTATTAAAAATTCGGACTACCCCTAACCCTGTAATTTACAACATATAGATGTGTGTTATTAGGCAGGAGATTAGGCAGGAGATTATTAATCTAAACTAATGTGAAACGACTTGTTATATACTTTTTAAAAAATTATATATGTATGTACTTACTGTCTGCCAGATTTCTAGTTATAAACTCACGTTTCTCTAGTTAGATATCCGAGCATGTGTTTTCTTAGTCTTCTTTAAGTTCAATACACTTTACTTAAATTTGCTCAGTAACCACGATTATTTAATTTCTGAAATGCCTATTTCAGGACTTCTTCACTTTCTTTTTTCTCATAGTTTCAGGCCAAGTGACCATGGACCATGCCCACGTTGGATACACTACAAAATATATATATGTATGTAAATGTTCAGCGTAATGAGCTGAGTTGATTTAACCATGTCCGTCTGCCTGTATATACGCCAACTAGTCCTTTAGTATTTGTGATATCGTACAAACTAATCAATCAAAATCAAGTTCTTATATGGAGTCTTTTGTATTTGTTAAGTGTATACTACTTCGGTGCAACCGAAGTTAACGTTTTTTCTTGTTTTAAACTGCAAAAATATATACATAAGCTAGTCCCAGCCCCATAAAATGAAATATACCAAATTAATGAAACAACAAATTGAATTTTAATGGATATTTTATATCCCTTTATTTCTTTTTTAGTTTTAGTTGTCATAATAGGTTCGACTATATCTAACTCAGTTATTAATTTTCATTTCATGTGTTTTCCTACAAATCTCTTCATTTTCAATTTTTGTTTGTTTATATTAATTTTGTTTAATATTTAACTCTTCTTCTTCACGATCTTCGTTAATTTCTTTTTCATATACTTTATGTTGGATTTGTTTGTTACTTTTTCAATTATATGTATATTTATAATTTGTACTTTATAGGTAAACATCTTTATCCGTCAATACATAGATTTAATGTTTTCTTTCATTTCTATATTTCACGTTGCATTCTTATTGATTAACAGAAGTATGTATGTATGTATGTTGTAGTATTCAATTTAAAAGCTAATGTACGGCACACATATGTATGTATGTATTAACTTCGCGTGCACATTCATCTATCAAAATAATTTTGGGCCTACAATATTTCATTTTTTTATACGCTCTCAATATTTTAGTTATCACATAGGCGGAATTTAATTTCATCTTTATGCAACTTTCATGGTTATATGTATAAGTATGTATTTTGATGTGGCAAATTAACAAGGCTAAAAAGGATATATTTGTATATGCTGGTATATTTGTTGTTTTTATGTATATACGTAATATATATATGAATAGATAATATATGCTTTAATGTAGGACTTATGTTTTGCGGTTCTTCAAAGAATGCAAGTGATTGGGAACTTACAAACTTACAAAGATGTTTAACCTTTTATTTGATATACACATAAAAATAAGGGCATGAGTTTAAATAATGCAAAACTTTATATGTAATAATGAAAGGTTTTGCTTCGGCAAATTTTCAGTTATTTTCTATCTGTATGTATGTGTATGTTAGTGTGAGCATGGCTTATTGTTTTTCTTGTTTTTGTTCACATAGCAGGTGCAGCAGATTACTTAAACTTTATTTATGTATGTATTGTAAAATTGTATTTTTCGCTTTTATTTCAATACACAAATGATTTAAAAAAAAAGTTTAATTTGCACAATTGTCGTTTCTAATTTTAAAATTGCCAAGTATGCAAAAATTACAGCTTCATTAATGGTTTCGCTTGCTAAATACTCGTACATTCCGAAACTTATTTGTTTTTAATCGTTTCTATCTAAATATGCCAAATTTTAAATTCTCACAATTTCTATTTTCGTTAGTAAATTTTTTTCTTCATAATTTCTTCATTCCTTTTAACGTAAAGCCTACAAATGTTTAAGTGTACTTATAAAAATATTGATTATATATATATATATATATTAATGTGTTGCTGCCTCACTTCTGCAGTTCATATTTTGTTTATGCCTAACCATATTATTTTAACTTTTTAGTATTTTGTATCACAAATATCATTTTTTACTCTCATTATGATTTTTTTTTTTGTAATAGCTACTGTATCCCAAGTAAAGACAAAGATAAAACTACTTTTATTTCATTTTTGCATTTTTATGTTCTTTATATTTTAAATTTACGTCATCATACTATTTTTTTGCTTTCTTAATTGAAATTGATTTTTTTGCTTTCTTAATAATGAAAAGGATGAATTGATTGTTTTGGATGTGGCCACAAGATTAGCTATGTTCATCTTTTTACAAAATTTTTCAATTTTGCTGCAAAATTAATATAATATATATGACAATTTTGATGGTTCCTAATGTTTGTTGCAAAATTTATTTATTTATTAATAAACCAGATATCATTTATAAATTTGTTTGAACGTTTATGATCCAAATAAAGATAACTCATGAAACAATAAAAGGTGGACAGTTTTAAGAAATTATTTGTCAAACTTTGACAATTCACTCATTTACTGAAGTTGAATGTTACCTTTTCTTTCTTTTGAAAATTATAAATTCGTATAAATACAATAATCTTAAGTACATTTCGGTTGTAACCAACTTCAAAGTAATAATTCCAAGCTTCAACATTGAGACGGCAGCTTGCAACTTACGATCTGATATACCCGCCCCGTGGCACAAGTTAAAGTAAAGGCCACTCGCAAAAATAATCGAATATTGGTTATACCTCACTGAGGGAATATGACCAATTGAACGAAGCATTTGTGCTTAAAGATATGTATGCCACGGAAATATAGTGTTTTAAATTTATTAGTTTTGTCGGCGTTTTGTAGCGGGGTATATTAAGTGTACCGCAAATTTTGTAACATCCATAAGAAAAAAACAGAGACTCTATAAGTATATGTACATATATATAAATGATTAGCGTGACAATCTGAGTCGATTTAGCCATGTCCCCCTGTCTGTATATACGCGAACTACTCCCTCAGCTTTTGAGATATCGATCTGAAATTTTGCACACCTTTTCTCACCACGAATTTGCCTATAGCGGACCACTATATGCTATATCCTTGTATGGAAAACTTGTTTATTTATCGAGATATCTATTAAATTTGGCACAGAATATTATTCCAGCCAACGTAATAGTCTCTAAAACATTTAACTGTCACACAAACTGACCCATCAAAATCAAGTTCTGGTATGGAAACTTTTTTATTTGTGAAGGGTATTCTAGGTTCGGTGCAACCGAAGTTATCGTTTGGTTTTCATTTTTATTAAGCTGTCATTTACCACAACACATTTATAAACACCCCTTTGGAAAAGATACACGTTTTTTAATATTTATTCTATCAAAACTTTTGTTGGTTGTAAGAAGGGATTGTGTTAACTTAAAAATTACATACATATGTATATACACCCCTATAAACAAATACCAAATCAAATTTTAATATCCACAAGTAATTCTACTGTACACAAGTCATTAAGCTTTTCGTTTCGTTCAGCTAATATAAAGTAAACGAGAGGAATGCAGATAGGGATGTGTTCAACAGAATGAATAAATTTGTTGTTGGAAAGGAACTAGCGATGTTGGTATATCTTAAGAGCCTCGCTAAAGAACCGTTGCTATCCATGAATTCGCCCAATGCAGTACACTTTTTTTCGGACAGTAAATATGATCACCTTTAGCAAATCACGGTATTTAGGAAAAAGGAAAATGAGAACTAAATAAAAGAATATCTAAGAACTGCAACGAAATCGAAAGTTAGCATGAATGCGTTGTTCCATACACATTTTTGGTTATAATTTAAAAGCATACCTTCTTAAATTATAACTTTTTTTATTCGTAATTAGCGGTTTTTCTGTAAAGAAATTCTTCCTCTAGCTTTCAAAAATTCTCTTCAAAATCAAATGTGAAATAGCAATCTAAATTTGTCCTTCCTTTCCGAATATTTTACTAGATGGGATAGACGTCTCTAGTAATCCTTTAAAGATTTCATAAGATTATCGTTTCTACTTAGAAAAGATACACACCGAAGCTACGTACTCGTATGTTTGCAAATAAACACAAATTACTCATTTATAAGTAAGAGTGAAAATAAAGTAATCTAAAATTGGATTAATTAGATACTTTTACACTACTGTTCCCTGGAGTGCATTTAAATTAAGGGAGCAGTAGGGTTTTTAAATTTGTTTTTGTCTTAAATGAATGATCTCAAGAATGTTTTGTTTAAAGTCAATTGAAGCAAAATTGACCAAGTTTATATACTTGTCTTATGAACGTTTTATAGTAGATTTCAAAACTTTACATGAATTCAAAGTCAGTGCCCCTCATAACTTCAAAACTACTGCACCGTTCGTTTTGAAATTTTGAACGGTATTTCTGTACATAATTAAGCAGAGTTAATTTCAAACTTGTTAATAATTTTTATTTTACAATAACAAATTAGCCGATTTTTTCGCAAAAATCTCACGTTTTTTTCTTCAAAGTGTTCCAATAAAATTAAAATGTTAAATTTCGAAAAACCTTTTCGGCGTTACCTGGAAAAAACTATTATCTAACGAGTGAACAGTGACTTCTTGATATCGGATGAGCCAGCAGCAAGTTATTAGGGACACCGCAATCCAAATCTCCAGAGAAAATGCTGCCATTGACGTATTTTTTAATATTTCGCCATGAAAATTAAACAGAATATTCTTTAAATATTAAAACATGCCATTGGTACAATAATACATTTTCATAACAAAAATCGTGAGAATGAGCCTTATTTTACACGAATTAACCCTACTCGCCCCTTTAACGAAATGTTCCATAACTAACGGCATGAAATATACTTCCAGACAAAATAAGAAGTATTTTGCATTTCAACAGTCCTTTTTTTTTTAAATCGTAGACTTCTATAGGAAAATATATACAAAGTATTCAGTTTGGAGTAAGGTTTTGTGAGAATAAATGCTTTTTCGACTGGTTGAAAAAAAAAAAAAATTCTTTTAATAATTTCTAAAATCTTTTTTACACAGCTAAATATGTAATAATATTAATTTTGCGAAGTTCGAATTTCTCAAGAACTTTCATAGAATTTCCTAAAAAGTGTAGAAAAATATTAATGGCGAATGTAAAAGATATTAAAGTGTAAATGTTCTTTGATTGTCATATTTTTCAATCGTGAATTTCACTTGTCAAACAAGCACTAGTCTTTTGTTAAGTTAAATAAATGGTTTGAACGCAGCTTGCAGTAAGAACATTTTAGAATGGTTTATAAAAATATTTAAAAACTAATTACTTAGAAATTTATTCCTTTAAGAGGCATTTCGTAGAAATATGCAAATAAATCTGATTTTAATAATATTTGAGTCCGACAGACGATGATCTTGTGAAATTTTAAATTATTGCAGTATCAAAGTTTCAGTTGCATTAGCTATCTACATAGCTACTTCTTTTTCTATTCAAAATTCTTGTTACGAGGTTTTGAAATAACTGTTGAAATATTGCTTTGACAAACTAAACTAAAGAATCCCACAGTTCTAATAAAATACATGCGAAATTTTTTTGTGTAATTAATATCAACAAACTATAAATTGAACGTTTTAAGTTTTCAAATACTTTTCATATTTTTTACTACATAACTGAAATGAAATGAATTTCAACTTTATCCCAAGACTAAAAAAAAAAAAATCGGGTAATATCGTTCAAAATAGTTGCCTACAAATTTATACAACTTGAAAAAGTTAAGTCCATTTCTCTTGTATGTACAGCTATGTGCAAATATTTAGTTAACATCTAAGGAATAATAAAAACAGGTTTCGAACTTTCAACTTATTTTAATTAATTACGATTATTTGCTTTTTCTACTCTGAGCAGAAAAATTGCTCCGAGTACTTTGTGCTCGTAAGCGCTAATCTATCATTTAGGCCACAAAAATTCAACAAAATTCAAATCTCACCACTTAAAAAATTATTTAAATATACATAATTGTATATATGTATGTATGTACCTATGTATGTATGTGTTTATGTACAACTTAAAAGTAAACTTTACATTTTAAAAATAAAAAATTGTTATACAATATATGGTTACTTAAAAAAATAGATCACTTATTATACAACTGGTAAGTTTACAAGCAGAAACTATTTTAATTTAAAATAACATCTTTTTCTGTATTAATCACTTAAATCATAACCTAAAATTATAATTATTTTTTTACATAAATAACTCCAAACGAAAAATTATGGTATATAAAATATTTATAAATATGTCGATTCACCTGAAAGGACACAAATAAGTAAGAACAATAAAAAAAATCACACAAATATAAGGCGAAAATTCATTGCTTTAATGTACCACAAATATGTAGGTGTAGTAAAGATTTAACCACCACCAAGGGGTAAAAATGTATATTTCTAAATATTTATACAATATATTTAACCAAACTTTAATTGAAAACAATGCTTGCATTTTCAGTAAAATTTTTTTTCAATTTACATTTTTTATGCGCGTGCGTCCAATCAAAAATCATTAAGATGAAATATATTACCAGCTGATCGTTTCAGAATATTTAAGATTTTTATTCGAATTCTTGTGTATTTCGCAGTAGCTTATAGCTTTCTTTTCTCGATGAAAATGTTGCCTCATTTTATGCCAACATTATTATACACATAAATGTTCCATTTTATACATGACAAAGGAACAAAAAAAATGTCAACTAACTCATTCGCAATATCCATGGCAAGGGCATACCGCGGAATATATGCAACATTTTTGTGAGAAGGTTATTAAATGGCGCGAAATCAGCACATTTTTGTGTGTATACTAGTCAACTACTAGTTTTATGGAGCATTGTTTTTTAAATTGTAAAGTAACGCCTGCCTTCCTGAAAACTGGTTTAATAACATCTGTTTGCCAAAAATATGAAGTATCGGAACCGATATTTGAAAATCGTATTATATTAACAGCTATCATGCTAAAAAAGCTGACAAGGAATGAAGTTTTACAGGTATCATAAAGTTTGAAAAAATTTGGAATTAAAAAAAAAAAAAATAGCAACAATTGATGAGAAAAGAAATATCAAAAAATATATGTTATCGAATAACTCTAAGTCCACAAATTCTTAGAATTTCGGCAATTTGAATACTCAATATTTGAATTCAAATTATAATTTATGAATTTGTAGTAGTTGGTTGGATTAATAATGACAGCCTTCTATGACCTTTTTATTTAATACTTGAAATTTTGCGTTTCCAATCGAATTACCGTTCTTATAATGAAAATGCCTTAAGTAATCTGCTTCGTCGAGAACACAAGAATTTGAGCAATAAAAGAGGCATATTGGACAGTAGAAAAGTTGGCTCATGCGAGTCGTCCATCTACCTGCTTTAAATACGAACATCAACAAAATTTAAGAAGAAATTATGATTGAGAGTAGTCATACTAGCTTCAGCTAAATAACAGAGACCCAACATTTTTTTCTGATCTCGTGTTTCGTCTTGTGATCTTTTTATACTCTTACAACATGTTGCTACAGAGTATAATAGTTTTGTTCACCTAACGGTTGTTTTTATCACCTAAAAATAATCGAGTTATATAAAGGGTTATGTATATATGTATAAATGATCAGGATAATGAGACGAGTTGAAATCCGCGTGACTGTTTGTCCGTCCGCCCGTCTGTCCGTGCCAGCCCTCTAAAAGGTTTAAAGTACATATCTCCTAAACAACTGAAGCTACAATAATCAAATATGCTTAGGACAAATCCTATAAGAACACAGTGTGAAAATGGATCAAATCGGATTATAATCCCGCCCTCTCCCCATGTAACGATTTTGTTAAAAACTACTTAAAGCTCAATAAAGCAGTAACCAAATGCGCCAGAGACATTAAATCTTACACCCAGGACAAGAGGGCTTTATAGGTGCCGGATTAAAATTGGACGATGGGTGTGGCACCGCCCACATTTAGGTGAAATCACATATCTCCGGACCTACACGACAAATTTCAACCAAATTATCTGTAACCTGACAACCCTATGTCGCATTGCGAAAATATGCGGGATCGGACTACAACCACGCTTACTATTACCAGCACAATTTCAAATTCCATATGATTCTTTCACTTTCCAGTACTCAAATCAAGTACTAATTAATATATACGGATAAAACTTTGCACATATAGCGCCTTTGAAGTATCCTTGCACGTTACAAGAGTATAAAATGTTCGGTTACACCCGAACTTAGCCCTTCCTTACTTGTTTTGGTTAAAATTTTTGAGTATGAAATGTTTCGTTACTAAGTTGAAACCAAGGTTCGTTTAAAGGTAGAGCGTTAATGAACGCAATTTGGGTTTCTTGTATGCGTACTGGTCTCAGAAACTCGCACATTCTTACAGAGGTCTCGATTAAGATTATAGGAACATGTTGGTAAAAGTAACTAAAGGTCACTCTCCACCCGATGATTTTAAAAAAATTATGAAAATTAGAGTAATCCTTTGATTGGAAATATTCGAGAAGTACATATCAAAACATTTCTTAAGTAATTCAAACCGAGTATGAGTAAAATAATAGAACCTTATGCCAACATGCAAATACTTATGTGCATAAGAATACAGTACTACTAAAGCTTTAATTTATTTATATGAATACAGTATTGTTTGTAGAAAGTTTTTAATTTAGAGTCATTAACCATTTTTGAACAGAAAAAGAAACTGTTTAGTGATTAATTTTAATTCACCGTATAGATGCCTTTTATAAAATTTACCTAATTCTGTTTTTACACGGTTTGAAAATAATTTTTTTTTCGTTTTTTACACGATATTATGCCATTTAGCACGATTCAAATTTTTTTGGGCTTACATTTTATTTGTCAGATTTAATTTTTGCGAAATATGTTCATATCACAATCCACTTTTTGTGGATACAAGCAAGTTTACTAGTCCAAGTAATTATAAATAGCACAAAGTTATGGGAACGACCAATGTCTTCTTTTACACGGTTTTTTCTGGAACCAATCTACCGCGTAAAAACAGAATTAGATGTAGTTATAATTTAATGTTTGGGTTTAGCTTAAGAGCATTTCATGCTAGGGGCTTAATGCAGAGATATCGCACCACACTCGTTTTAAATCAGTTTTATTCAAAAATATATATATATTTTACTTTAGAACACATTTTTAATATTGACTTAACTGTTCAGCGCAAGGAATTATATTATAAATATAAACAGTTGCGAGTTACAAAACTAGAAACTTTGAGTTTTCATTAGTGGAGGAATGGGACCATAGATAAATATGTGTTAGACAAGCGGGTTTGCGTGAGATATTTTGGAGCTTTGAATTTAATGTACTGCACTCTTTCGATCAGCTAGAAACACGCCGAATGTTTTATTTTAGGGAGTAGGAAAAACTCCATGGCGTTCTAAATACAGATTATTGATTCCAGACAATGTGCTGTAAAAACTCTCCGGTGTAAGTCGACATTTTTAAATTGTTATACTAAAGTGGATAGAGGACAATAGTCTTGTTTAATTTTATTGATTTGCAAGGGTTGTCCTAGAAGAGATACTGATTATTGGCGATCGTTTAGGTAAACTATTAGACATAGTGTTTTTGATCGAGTACTACTAGTGGGTTTTGAATCTCGTAAAAAATAATTAGTTAAAAGCTCTAGTAATTTGTGGATTTTGGACGTCACAGTCGGGTCTACTCAACCGGAACGGACAAGGTTTATATCCGGCCAAGGACTTAACATTATTTGGGGTATGTTTTAACTCACTACAACAATAACAATTACATAGACCAGACTAGTAAATGAATATCGGGTATTACAAGAGTTAGCAGAGCTGATCCGCAATATACAGTTACTAACAATAAAATAGAATCAAATAGATGGTTTCGCAATAATTAACAATCTTTATTATTTGTCCGATAAATTTCGGATACGTTTTATCTGTAATCGATTCCTACAATGTTTATCTTTTAAAAGACCATGATGGTAGCTCTGCTACATTTTACTGTTATCATTGTGTTCAAATTAAACAGAAGTGTGCATTTGTTGTCGTGACAAAAAAAATACAACCAAGGAATAAAAATATCAATTATAGGCGTTATTTAGTAAACAATTATATTGTAAGTATATAATTTTTTGGGTATTTGTTAAAACTTGAAAATTCGTTACAATTAAGTATTATTTGTAGAAGAAATGGGCCGAGGAAAGCATTGTACAGCTACAGAGCGTAAGCTCAATCAAAATTTGTAAAATAATTTAATTAACCCAAAAGGTAATTTCAGAAATTATAAAAAGATCCCAAAAATATATGTTTACTGCTTTGAAACCTTCAAAAGAATGCGAATTGAGGGGACGGCCACGAAAAACGAGGTCAGAAGATGACAATTACATAGAAATGTTATTAAAATACGATGTTTTCAAGACCTCTGTAGCTATCCAAAGAGAATTAGGTGAGAACTGTTGCGCGTCGCTTTGTAGAAAATAATATCTTCGGAAGGTTGTCCCGGAAAGTCCCAATGTTAAAAAAAAAAAAAAAAAAAAAAGACAGCGGAACAATCGGATTGCTTTTGCTTCAACGCATATCAATTGGACCAGTAAAGAAAATGCAAAAAAAAAAGTGGCGTAAGATCCTTTGGTCCGATAAGTCTACAATAAAATAAATATGGTAGGTAGCGATTGGACAAGTATGGGTTTAATGTCTGAAAAATGCTAAAATTAATTCCCGATACACCACAAAAACTTCCAAATACGGAGTTGGTAATATGATGCTTTGGGAAAGTTTTTCGTGGTACGGAGTCGGACCGCTGTTTTGGATTCGGGTAAACGTGGACCGACATCACTATCTTAGAATCTTAGAAGATGTAATGCTTCCTTATGCTGAATGGAACATACCTTTAGTTTGGCAGCTCCAGCATGATAATAACCCGAAGCATACCTCGGATGTGATTAAAAGTATGGTATAGGATCAAGGAATCGATGTTATGAATTGGCCGGCGCAATCTTCGGATTTAAATCCTATAGAAAACTTGTGGAAGATTGTAAAGAAAAAGTTGGAACCCATTAAACCACGAAATAAGGAGGAACTATAGCAAAAAGTCCAAGAGGCGTGCTATTTATTACCGAATTCAGTCTGTAAAGCTCTAGTGGAATCTACAATATATCGAAAACGTGTGCTGCAGTACTCAGAAGTAAAGTTTTTGCAACAAAATTCGAACTTATAGGCATTTTTTAATTACAATAGTGTACGATGTACGAGTTTTGGTTCCATGATTCTATTTTATTATCAATTGAAGTTCCTGACAGTTCCTTTAAAAGTTATCTGCTGATAATACTTAAATTTATATAATATTAAGTTGTTTTTGCTTTTGAAATGTTTAAAATACATTTTATTAACTATAAAAAATAATTGTTTCCTCCTAAGAAGTGTGGTAAACCTTTTTTTGCAAATAGTTGTGAATAAAATTTTGATTCTATTTTATTGTCAGTAACTGTAAATGTATATACATATACTGTTAATGTACATATATTGCATAGCGTTAATGCTTTATATTGTCACCGAGTTACATACATATAATTTTTTTTTAAAGAAATTAAAAAAATGTTGATTAGTCTGCCACCAATTTAAACCACTTATTTCTAAAATAAAGTTAATGTAAAAGTTCATATAAAAAAATATTGCGATGATGATGATGATGGTGACTTAAAATGTAATGAATGTTTAATGCAAGTTATTAAAGCCGATTTCTAAATCAAGACAAACGAAAATTTTTTTGTGGAGGATGAACATATCGTATTAGTATGCCACTAAATTGAAAATGTTTTAATAAAGTGTACCGTTTTATTTAGCTTTTGAAATAATCACTCCAAAAAAGCTGTAGTTTCATACGCGCAAGACATTAAGAAATAATTAAGTATATTATAAATAAGTACTTTTTTGGGAAAAGTTAAGATTAAAGACAAGTTAATTTAAAAACAGATTTTGTTTAAAAAAAGGCTTCGCAGTTAACTGCAGCTGAAAGTTGCAGCAATTTAAGAACAAAGTTACAATTATCTTAAAATATGTGCTTTTAGATTTAGAATTACAAGACAATGTTAAAAAGTTGTATGGAAAATAACTTTTTTATAAAAGTATGTGGCGTATATAAAAACGCTTGCTGCGGTAGCAGTAGCACCGTATATCGGAGTTAAATGGTTATTGCCGCGTCTCATTTTTGACTTGAATACAAATGTTTAAGTAAGGGTAACAACCTATGTTACATATACAATTATGCAATTTATGCATATAAGTGCTTTGTCTGTACCCACTTAAAAAAATGTATTTCAAATTAGAAGCTTTAACATACTGCGATTTTGATTTACTATTGCGGTTTCCAAGTAAAGAAATGTTAGAGTAGTTTTGGTTTGTAATTGATTTTATAAGTACTAATTTACACAAAAACCATTTTAAATAAGTAAAAAAAAATCGGTGATAAATAATGTATTATATGGGCTAGCAGTATGTACAAACATTTTTTGTGTGTGTCTATGTTTTTAATTGTAATTTTAAGTTGATTCACACATACCTACATATTTATATGAAATTTAATGTCTTTATTGTACGCTTTATTAAATCTTAATAGCTAAATATCAATGTTCACTATTAATTTCATTGTATTTTTTTTTTTTTTTGTTTTTTTTGTTATGTTTCATCCTAAATTCAATGCTGCCTGCTGCACTCAGTTTAGCCGTGTTTCGGTAACTGACTTAATAATTCATTTATTCCTGTTTACTTGTTTTTTATTTTGTTTCTCATGAATAGACGGTTACGTTGCATACTTCTCCCTTAAATACATTTTCCCTCAATTTTGCTTCAGTTTTTTCTCTTCGCTACATATATAAAATCCTGTGACATCTACTGATTTTCAATTGATTTCAATTTTTTATACTTCTTGTGGCAATAACTTATGTATGCCACATAAATGCTGCATTTGGTTACACTAATATACTAGTAACATTCACATTTTTTTTGCGTTCAATACATGCATTCATTTTAATATTTATATAATACGATAATTTCGATTTATATACGCATCACATTTACTGCTCATTAACATTTCAAATGTTTTCTGTCTTATTATTTCAGTTTTTGTTTCTTTGTATGTGTCTGTGTTGAGTGTGTGTGGGTGTGTTTTTTTTTTTATTGAGAGTTGACCTCTACTTTGCTCATTGTTTATTTTCTTCTTATTAATTTAACATTATAGGTTTCGCCTACATTTCGTATTAGCTCAAAGGATGGTAAATAAGTTTATTTGAAAGCGTTTGTTTTACTTTTCTCATTTTATGTTTTTTCGTTTGTTTGTTTCTTGTTCATATAGTACAAATACACAGATAAAGCTTTTACTATACATATACATACATACATTTTCCAGCTTTATTTAGTATCTACTAACTGCTTCCTAACTTTCACCTGGCATAACGTATTAACATTGACGATTTAGAAATCTAGTGCCCGTTGTTGTTGTTCATTTTTTTTTGTCTTTCTTGTTTTTTGAGTTAATAATATTAGTTTTAATACGAATTTGTTGTATGTAATTGTTATGCTTAATTAAATGTACACAAATGCAATTGTTGATTGGCTGGCTCGCGTTTCTATGTGCAACATACTTTGTGTGAATAATATATAACTGCTTTTCGGTCCACATTCGAACGTCTGAAATATTTATCATTAACGCGTTCTTTGAGTTCTAAACAAATTTTTAGGCTACATTCACATTTGCAACTGGCAATCATTAGTGCATGCGGTTTGTTGCCTGCTTCCCGGTTTACGTTTATGGCGCGAAGCTTTCAAAACTGTTTGGCTGACTTAAGTGGTTTCTCGACGCGTACGTGTACGCGGATTTTTCAAACCATTAGCAGTGTTGGTTTGACAGCGCTTGAGAAAAATACCAACACATGTTGTGTCACCATTATCATTCTCATATTCAGCGTTGGCAATGTCGTCGTCACCATCAACATTAATACTAATATCATTCACGCTTTCCTCCATAATATCCTCCTCGATTAGTTGATAGTCCGCCGTATATCTATGTCTGCTGGTATGAGGAGTTTTGACATCGCTTGAACGTTGGCTGTCATCATTGCTGCTGCTATTACTTTCGCTGGTGTCACCGTTGGTGCTGTTGTTATGTTTATACGTATAGTAATCACTATTCATATTCGTAGTATTTGTATGCAAAATTTGTTGCTCCGCTGAAGACGCATTGCTATTGTTAACGTTATTACGTCCGTTGCCTTGACTCTGGAGTAATGCTTTCACACCAACGGTATTTATTTCACGATGACTAATGTGCGAATTAATGTTGGCAGCTGTAAAAGAGTATTTCAAATTGTTGTTTTTTTGGTGTTTTCAGGTTTTATATTTTAAGTGACGTACGCAGAGCTATCACAAAGTTTCGTTAAAATCAAGTGCATACAAATTTAAGAAAACACTCAAAAATTTATACGAATTAAAAATGATTTACGCAAAGAAAGTGAGCAAAAATAATCAATTTTATGTCATCGCCTTGTCTCAAGCAAATCTCCCCTAAAGCTGAAAACTTATATAATGTTGCGGCTGAATAACTTTCATTCAAGTTTAATATTGTGTAGAAAACAAAGAGGCAACGAAGTTTGTAACACCCAGAATATATATAAATCATCAGCATAACGAGCCATGTCCGCCTGTCTGTCTGTATATGGTAAATACACACTAGTCCAATTTTAAAGATAAGCACAAGTTCTTTCCTACTCAAGAAACTGATCATTTGTCGGAATCGCCGATAGCTGTCATACAAGCTGAACGATCAAAATAAAGTTCTTGTATGGAAAACTTTTTTATTTGACAAGTTATCTTCATGAAATTTGGAACAGATTTTTCAGTTCGGACCACGATACCATATTGCTGTCTTATAAACTGAACGATTTAAATCAAGTTCTTATATAGAAACTTTTTTGTGAGATTAGCTAAGGTGCAACCGAAGTTAACGTTTTTTCTTGTTTTTGTATAAAACATGTCAATTGTTTAATATGCAGCAGTGTTCTGCGAGTCAACACTTATACACGTTTCGTCAGTTTGTCTTGTTTAAGCAGTGCTAAAACAAAAAATCCTTCCTAAACAAAAACAAAAATTATTAGTTTTACACAGTAGTAGTAGTATGCATTTCGTTCTTTTTCTCTTAAATAAAAATTTTTAATATTTTATTTTTTACGCAGAAAAAATAAAAATTTCATAGAAACAAAAATCTAAAAAAAATTAACAGATCTTTATATGTACTTATACTTATGGTTTTCATACGTGTATATACACATGTGTTTATTACTTATATTTTAATATAACTCAAATATTTTTCAATTTTCCAATTGTTCTTTTAATATTTTTAATTTTAATCATTAACAAATTATATAAGTAATTCAATTACTTTCACTTGAGAACTTGACACTTAACGTACACATAAACTAAACCTATACTAATTGTGTTTGTTGTTATTGAAGTTTCGAAAAATAAGCAAAAAAAAAACATTGATTTAAATCAAATTAAGCAAAACGTTATACAAGCATATGTTTTTGTATAAAATAGCGAATTAAAATTAAAATAAATATAATTTGTAATATATAGCAAACTTATGTACATATATTTTTAGTTTTATATATACTTGTATATATATATTAATTAAAACAAAATATTATAGATTTTAAAAAGAAACTACTAAATTTTACAAAACGTATTTTGTGCTTGCTGCGCCTCTACAACGATTGCGTTACGTTCGATAAAAAACATGTTGCTTGCATTTTCGCTTCAATTTTCACTTTCCATGTGAATAATTTTTGTTTTTCATTACAAATTACAGTATCAAATTAAATAATATTATTTAAAAAAATCTTTATAGCTACCAAATAACAAAATTAAAATCAATACATTATAAATCGTAATATACAAAAATAATATTTTTACACTTAAATCGAATCGCAAGTAATTAATTACATTACATTAACTCAAAAGAAAAAAATATATGTATATATTTACGTACATTTAATCATAGTTTATTTTATTTTTTTTTTATTTATAAAATAAGTTTTTAACTTATTACGTGCATGTGTGTGTGTGTGTGTGTTTGTTATGTTTAATTAAGGTATACGCTTTTAGTGGTGGTTGCTTTTATATGCATACTTTTGTACGTATATATGTATCTACAAAGGTTATTTATCCTTATGAGTCGACTGAACAGTATGTAATGTTGCATAGACGCATTATTTTACTTTCTATTTGTATGTTAAGTTATAGCGCATATGGTCCGTGTAAGTACCCAGTTGAAAATGTAAGTTAAATAAAAATAAAACCATATTAACTAATATGAGTTTTAATATTTTCCTTACAGAATCATTTTTTATGATTTTTTTCTTAGGTAAAAAATTAAAAAAAAAAAATTAATTTAAAATATTTATTATGGTGAACCACATGGCAATAAAACATTTTTTACGAGTTTTTTTTTATTAAAAAACAAAATTAGAATAAATAAAAAAATAACTGCTACATATGACACTGGTAACAAATATGTGTAACTAATATATTATAAACGAATTCGAAAATTTTAGTTACTAAATTTTTTAGCACAATTAATATAAAATTTATTTTATTTAACTGCAGAATAATAACGACTGCATTTCTTTAACAATTGTTCTCCACTAAAACACAATTTAGTTAATGTGCAATACAAATTCACACTGAGCACCTACAGACCATGTGTGTTATTTTTTCTATTTTCAGTATTAAGTATATTGTATGCAGTTTAAGAAAATCGCAGTGCGACATACATAGATACGTTTTGTAAACCGCATTTTCGCTAATTTGGTTTTATTTTTTTTTATTATTTGCTATGCGGTTCACAACTAATGTACACACATAAATTAAATTTGAGCAATGGCTATAATAAAATTATATGATTAATTAATTTCTGTTTTAAAAGTGAAAAAAACGGAGAATTTCGGCGGCGTGCGAACGTAAAAACTAACAATTTCACCAACCAACGAACGAACGATCAAGTTGCTGCTGTTACTTACGCACATACACCTATGCTCATTCAAAAAGGATTGCGCGGTTGAGCAGTTCTTGGTGGGCAACTGCAGGGGATTGACCTACTGGCACAGACGCTGAGCCATTTTTAAATACCAATACGTGTACTGGGAGCACACACTGTATTTTTTTGTTAAGGTTTGTTTCTTCACTGTGCTTAATTTTATTATATTTATTAACACTTAAATAATTTGAAAAGAAATGTTAAGCGGCTTTGGAAGAATTCTATAAGCGCGTTAAAAAGTCCACGTTCATTTTTAACATACACATTAAAGCATATTTGTAGTATGCGTTTTTATTAAATTTGCTGATAAATATATATATATATTTATGGTATATCAAGGAATATTTAGTACATGTGCTAAACACAATGTTAAAGAATATGCAGTTTTGTAGTGTTTTCATTTTAAGCACAAAAGTATTTATAAAACTAACTAATAAAATTAAAATGTTTTATTTCAAACCGTCGTATATTTATTATTTTAAAATTTATTGTTAAATTGGTTTATGAACGTATATAATTATTTAAAGTTTGTTTTTGGGTATATTCAAATATTTATGTATGTATGTTTTTTTGTAAATAGGTAAAGTGTGTGTTAACGACAAACCGTTGTTTAGTTCCATTTAATCCAGTATATGTATGTATGTATATATATGTAAATTGAAGGGTATTTGAATAGGTTAACTCTTTTTAACTATTAAGAATAAGTTTTGTTAAGAAATTGTTTTGCTTCTTCGACACTTTGCTTGAACGGGCAATGGTAGTGTAGGGATTTAGTACTGGTAGTGTTGATTAAATATACTTTGTTGCCTTAGTTATTGACAACCTAAAGAAAACTACATTCAAATGTAAGCAATTACTTAACTAATTTTAATAATAATAAAAAATAGAACACCAGCGAATATTAATCCGTTCTGTACATTTATTATTTATACGAGAAGTCGTATGAGATCTTGATATTTATATGTATATATACCATATACACATATTTGTATATATATAAATATTATTTTATGTATGTAAGAATAATAAAAATAAATTGTGGTGGAAACACCGAAAAGGCGATTGCTGATGTTTTCAAATGTCCAAACAGAATTTTTTTCATTGCATTTGTATTTGGTTCCAAATACAGTATAACGCAAGACATAGCAATGGATAATGATGTGCAAGAAACGTGCAGTGCACAAGCTGCAATAAATTGGACGCAGTTTTGGAGCACAGAAACGAAAAGTAAGTAAGATCATTCAAAGTAACAAATCAACGCGGTTTACTCAAATTACTTGACAGTAGAGAATAAACATTTTGACTGCATAACTAACCTACAATCGTAAAAAAAAACTGTATTTTAGCAAAGTCGCAAATACAACTCCACTCTATCGTTAACTTGCAAAAGCCAGTTTCTATTCTTTCGTTAACTATATTCAAAAACACGTTGAAAAAAAATTAAAAACATTGCAATCGCAAGACCACCCTGCTCTGCGGCCATCAATGTTTAGAATTGTTCACGTTATCAGTGGAAGTAACACCTTCCAGCGTTGTTGTTGGGTTTAACGCTATACCTGGAAACACTGATGCTGTAGACAATAAAGCGCAATTTTCGTCTGCAACAAAATTTGACTGGTGTGCAGCAGCAGTTATAATGGGTGTAGGCGTTTTAGAGCTTTGCTCATGACACTTACTTGACACTTCATTTTCCAACTCGCTATTATTAGCTGCAGTGTGCATAGATAAGTTATTAAGCTCATTTTGCACATTGAGAAATTCGAATGGATAATGTTTTGGTTCAACACTATCAATAACATCGTCACCAATACCAGTTGTCAATTTTGGCGTGAAAGAAACGCTTGAAGCCGTTGTAGCGCCATCTTCAATACCCTCTTCGATTTCATTAAAAGAATTAAGTTTCGGTGCTAATAGATCACGACTCACGTGACTCTTAGCGCGACCATCGACGATGACACTTTCTTGCATTGCAATAATTTTTTCATCTTCCTCGGTTGTTATAATGGTGACATTCGCGCCAATTGTCATTTCACTAGCATTCAATTGATTTGCAGGCATTTCAACAGCTTCATCTCTATTTTGGTCAGCGTTTTGAACGTTTAAAACATTACCCGCATGCGCATATGTCTCGCATTTTTCTGTCATCTTGTCTTTCGTAACATTAAAACCAATTGCATGTGTTTTAGCTGGCTTGGCTGCAACTACAACGACATTGAGTTGATGCAGCTGATGATGGTTAGTGTGCTGCGGGTGTTCTAGCGATTGTGCATTAATATGCCGCTGCATTTGTACATGCTCACGCTTCATTTGCAAATGTAAATTTCTCTCATTCAAGCTGGTCGCGTAGAGATCATGATGTGTTGCGCTATATGCGCTGGAGCCCGCTATATCAACTAGCGAACGTGGACTTTTACATGGCGAGTTGTTAAAGCTAAGCTGATTATCACAATTTGATGAGTAAAAATCCTCAAAAGTATCACTGCTACCACTACCGCCGTGCACACTGCGTTCAGTGCTGCCACCGACAGTCGACAAGCTGACATTTGATGCCGTTGTCGATTCGGATAACGAAATTTTCGTGCGCGCATCACCGACAACACCATTAACACTCACTATGTGTAAATTAACAGCGGCGGGTTCTGCCGTTAGACTTTCATCTTTCAGCGCATTCTCCACCATCTCACCGTAAATATCATAAGTGCCCACATTAGCTCCTTCACTGTTAATGAAAACACATTTTTCACTCATCAATTTCGGTGGCACTAACAATTGTCGCTTGGGCAACGATGAACCCGGTGTTACTGATACCGTCGTTGATGACATTGACAGCTTGCGAGTACGACTACTCACACTACAGTTGCTGTTGCGCCGCATAGCAGTCGTGTGTTGTACGAAATTTTCGCAAAATTCTACAGGATTTGCGCGAAAGTGATTCTGTAGCCAATGGGACAATTTTTTCGTATTATTCTTCAATTTATTTTTTAATTTGCGACGCGAAGTGCTTGCCAAACCACTGCAACCGCTCGCTGGCGAGCAGCTCAAAGCTATCATAGCAGCATCGGCGCCAATCGCCGTAGCTGAAGTGCCGTAAGCATTGGATTTTTTGACTGTAATTGCGGCTGAGCTCAGTTCACTACATTTTTTAGCGTTGAATTTTTGTTGAAAAATAGGCTTCTGCGTCCATGAATTGACGACATTGCTCATATGGCCATATTTGCTATTGCCAACAGTTGCATCATGTTTTTTAGACGCAATCAACGCATGTGTTTTACGTGACGCACTAAATGGGCTAGCAGTGTTAGATGACAAATTAGCGGCTACTTCAACACCTGCTACAGTACTAACCCTTACCTCAGTACTGAACTTATTTTCATTTTCATTTTCATTTGACCTAAACACAGCTTCTGTGCCGCCATTCAATTTGACTGCATCGCAACTTGATCGTCGTTCGCTAATGGTAAAATTGTTTTTTTGCAACTTTTCTTTTTCATGAATATGTTCACATTCATATTTTAAATTGGGATGGTTTTCATCATCATCACAACCACAATAACTACAATTATAACTACCACTATTAATGTTTATATTCATATAAAATGTCGAAGGTTGTTGGGAAATGGAAGTGGAAGTGGAAATCTGTTTGGCATGAGTAGTAATAGTAGCAGTAGAAGGTAAAGTTGTATGTGTTACGGTAGTAGTAGTAGAAGTAATATTGGGAAAGTTAGAGTTGGTATTACTGAAAGTAGTAGTAGTACTGTTAGCCGTAGAAGGCTTGGAAGGAGCTAATAGTGTAGATAACTGTAATGCTTTGGGAACAACTGTGTGTGGCATTTTTGGATGGCACTCACCGGACTCCCAGTCTTCTTCTTCGCAATCTTTATCACCACCAGACATTGGCGCCGACGACGACGAGCACGATGTTGTTGATTCCGAAGATGATGTGTGACTACTAATGCTGCTTTTACTGCTGTTGGCGCTAATACAACCGTTCACTTCACCGCCGCTAGTTGAACCATTAGTCTGCATTGTTGTTCTTGTCTCTTCATCTAAACGCCTGACACTGTTTGCGTTGCTACCGCCGTGCATTACTGATGGTTGATATATAATATTTTTGTCGCCGCACATTAAGCCCGTTGTTGTTGACGGTACGCCGAATTTCATTATGTTGGTGCCTGCAGCGGTCACTATTGTTGAAGTAGTTGCTACATGATTGTGTGTTGTTGTGAATAACGGTTTCATTATCTGTTGTGGCGGCTGCCGCTGATAATGTTGCATTAGTTGTAGTTGTTGTTGTTTATCCGCTGCAGCCATCATGTGCTCCAAGTTCACATAAGTATGTTGTGATTGCGTGGCTTGTTGTTGTTGTGAGGGTAGCGCAAATGTGGTTATAGGTGCAGCGCTTAAGCGCGCAATTGGCGTAACGCTTACGTCACAATCGTATACATCACAGTCACCACTTATGTTATTCGCCGGCATATACTGCTGTCTATAGTTAACAGTAATCCGTTCCGCATCATTTTGTTGTGGTTGTAACACATACGCTGTTGTGGGTGCAACATTTATTCGCTCGAATGACGAGATGCGTGCATCGCCATCGCCATAATCATCACAGTCATCACTAACGCTTTTCGCTGCCGTGTAAAGCTGTCTATTATTAACGGATATCCGTTCTTCATGTTGTTGCTGTTGTTGATGTTGTGGGAGTAACGCATATGTATTCGTGGATGCAGCATGTGTTCGCCCCAATGGCATCATGCCGGTATCGCAATTGAACACTTCACAATCACTGCTGCTATTTTTCGCAGTATTGTATATCTGCCTATGGCAAATTTGTGGTTTTTGTTGGTGTTGTAAATGTTGCTGATGCTGATGCTGTATGTATTGAGGACCCACAAGAGAAGCGTCCATGTGGGAAAAGTCTGCGTTTGTTGTATCACCGATACAAAGCTCACCAATGCTGCCACTACCGTTGCCGCCTCCGCCACCACCCACTAACGGACCGCCCAAACTGCTAACCGACGCCGATGCCGATGAGGAGGACTTATGATCACAAATATAATTTAGATCACTACCACTGCTGCTATTCTCTGGCAATTGACAATTGCTGCTGCTGCTGCTTTCGCCCCCGCCACCACTACTCTGATGAGAGAGGCGCGCATTTTGAGACATCCTTTGATTATTCACAACCTGGCTGGCTATGCTACTAACATTCGCTTGTAAGCCAGGTCGCATTGAAGTTTCCGCATAGAATACAAGTTGCACCTGCAAAAAAAAAAAAAACAGGAAATTAGTTTATATGAAAATACAAAAAAAATTAATATTGAGAGTATGTAAATTACAAAAACTTGGAAAATTATTTTTAGTTACAAAGGTGGATTATACTTTGCATAAGTATATGTATGGCAGCATATCTATACCTTCTGAAAAATTTTGACGCGGACTGACAAAAAAAAACCAAATTTAAACACGTTCACATGCATATTTTAACACAAATCTTTGTTATCGCCTTCAAATAGTCTCTTTTTGAGCCAATACATTTTGCGAGCATTTATTACAAGCCTCGGCAGGGATCGTCTTTAGCGACTTCTGCGAATTTTGATTTTTTTCCGTCCGGCTCGATTTCGGATTATTTTTGGAGCGCCATTTCCAAGTGGTTGGACGTCTCGTCACCAGTAATAATGCGATGAATTTAGGATTCTCAGCTACGTTGTCAAGCATTTCTTTCCCGACCTCCTTTCGACGTCGTTTTTGTAAAAGATGCATGTCTTTTAGTACGAGTCTAGCTCTTTTCCTTTAACTTTTTCGATGTTATTGTTATTAAGAAATGTGGATGAACGATTCGCATGAGGAAAATTTTCGATGACTTCACTCAAATACTTGTGTTCGTGATAATGTACAAAATACATCGGCAAAATTTTTAACGAGAAAATTTCACAAACTCGTTTAATTTTTCCCATAGTAAAAATCACCAGACAAACTTTTCGTGTCGGAACCAAATAGCTGTCAAACACACACTAATTGATATATAGAGATCAAACTTTACACGAAAATAAAAAAAGTTGTACAAATCTTTTTACTAACGAATCGGTTTGCGCGCAGTTTAAATGGACCAATCCGAGTCAAATTTAAAAAGCCTTTTAGGATTTTTACAACTATTCAAAAATTTTCTGTCGGATTATCAAAAATCTAAGCAACATTTATAAAAAAAAAAAAAAAAAAAAATCATACCAAAGCTATAACAAAAGCTTCACAGGGACGTTTCTTATAGCAACGATATGTATAACTAATCTGAATCTTCGTGAAGATATTTTATCAAAAAAAAAATTTTTTCCATACAAGAACTAGATTTTAATCAATCAGTTTATATGACAGCTAGATTCTTTTTTCGACAAATGAGTAGTTTTTTGGACAGGCTAAATCGACTCAGCTCGTTACGCTGATCATTTATATATATACTTTATGAGGTCACCCGACGTTTCCTTCTCGGCGTTATAAATTTCGTGGCATACCTAACTCACCCTGTTAAGGGTATAAATATTTATTCAAATTAACTTAAATTATATAAATAAAAATGTGCTCTAATGTTGTTATTCAACTGCCTCAATAGCATTGCACAAAATATCGGTGAATTATTTTTGCTGTTACAAAAAACAACAATGTAAGTCTAAATAATTCGTAAAAGGAATTGAAATAAAAAATTTTATTATATAAAATTTGTCAGCCTTTAGAAAAACATATACATTTGGTATATTCAAGCACATTTGTAAAATTTAAACCTTTAAGCTATTCTCATCAAACAGGTGGCATTCGGAGAAAAATCCAAAATGAACTTTATATTTTTTGAACAACTTTAATTTAATAATAAAAAACATCCACCACTAGACACACACTACGCTCTAAACAAACAAAAAATAATCCACTCACCTTAAATCCTTCCGAAAAACATTTGTGCTCTTTGTCTTTATGTGCATCATCGATTTCGCATTTATTAAGTGTATACACAAGTTTCGCGTCGTCACCTTCTCCTTCAACGACTGCAAATAATTGGAAAAATCAATTTAATTGATATTAGAATAAGAAAATGTTGTATATGTTATGTATATTAGCTTACCCGCGTCATCGCGCACAAAATATGTATTAAACCAGAAATGGAACAATTTCTTTTTATGCGTCAGCTCTACTTTTATGTCGCCGGCTACACATAAATTTTTAAGATCCAGTGTATGACTTTTTCGAAAATCGATGGGTAACCCCAGCAGATGCTAAACAAAAAAAATAATAATAATCAATGTGAGTAAAAGCAATAAATTAAAAACCTTTGGTGGAATCTATATTAGCTCTACATAATAATATAAAAAAATTAAAACTCGAAAAATATGTATCTTGCAGTTGTGTATGCTAATTATTACTAGATTATTAACAACTAATTCGACTTGATATGAAAAATTAAACTTATTCTATATAGGACATATTTCAAATTTAAGTTTTTCTTTTTATTTTATAACCCCGAAAATATTAATTAAAAATTATTTTTACATTTTTAATCACAAATACCGGATTGAGAAAAAAAATGTTTAACCCCAATTATGGATTAAAATAATAAAAATCATCACAAAAACCGGATTAAAAAAATGTTTAGTCCCAAGCATATAATTAGGAATTGAAAAGAAATTGTTTTAAAATTAACATTTTTTCGCGATTGAGAACATCGTGTTCTACAATTTTGAAGTAGAGCTTGCATAGAGCCATTGTATTGAATATATACTTTAGTGCACTGGTCGGCAAACTTACACATTCAAATGATTTATATTAAAGTTTTCGATTTTTACTATTAAATGAAAAATAAAGTTTTCAATTTTTAATCCCAAACATCTTGACTTAAGAAATTAGATTTTTAATTTTTAAACCCAATATCGGATTTAAATCTGATTCTTGATTTGAAAATTAAATGATCAATTTTTATTAAAATTTCAAGTTTTAATTTCAATTAAAAAACTAATTTTTAATCCAAAATCTGTGAATTAAAATATACGCAACCCTAGTCACCGGGAGTAATTCTGTATATATCTTATTGTACAACAAGCTTCAAAACTAACCTTAACTTTTACAGAACATCCATCGTCTTCCAGCACGGAAATTGAGCAATGCACTGTGCCATAACTGTGCAACAAGTTAGCCTCAGTAAAACGAATTTCACAAAACTAAAATAATTTCATACATATTATTTATATGAGAAAAGAAATAATTAAAAATGCTTAACCATACTTGCAGAATACGCCTTTCATATGGTACACCAGATTGTATTAATTTTGCAAAATACTGAACATAACGCCTTTGCGATGGAATCGTAACACCTTTGAGATCCTTTGTGCGTTTCTCAGCATAACATTCTAAAGCATCTTCGGCAGTTTTCTGCCGTCCACTATACAACATGTAACAACAAATCATTGTACCTATAAAAAAAAAAACCAAATTGTTAGATATTTTTCGATTGAAACTGTGTACATAGGTAAGTGGTTAAAATTGTCAGGAAATTACCAGTTCTGCCTTTTCCAGCTTTACAGTGTACGGCGGCTACATTTTTCTTATCTGCTTTCAGCCATGCATCCACGTCCATACAAAATTTTTGTATCAATTCTATTGTTGGTGGGTTATGGTCTTCAAAAGGATAAACAGCAACTCTCTAAAACAAAAAAAGGGTATTAAAAAACTATTTATTGAGGAAACGTTGAGCACATTTTTTGTTATTTCGCTTACTCCATGAAATTTATTGCTATCATAGCTACGCTCAAGGCATAGGTTATAAATTTTATAATGATTCTGATGAACTTCCTGGAGAAACTTGTAAACATCTTCTAAACGATTTCGAAATATACTCTCTATATTATCCGCCGGGTAACCCATAGCAATTATATTGTCGTATATATCTACAAAATATTTAGGAATATGTACACAATTTTTTTTTTTTTTTTTTGTTTTGTTACTTACAAGTCAAGTCTAAATTATATCCATTGCCCTTGTAGCGTATACGCTGCTTGCTGACAACATTCCGTAAAACGTTCGTCATGACGGAAAGCGTATTTGCCATCTTATGCTTAAACTTATTAATATTGATACCACTTGATGCGGCACCACAAATCCTTTCGGACTCCCGCAACTTCTCCGTTACCGTCACTTTCGCTGGCGATATTTTTTTGCAAATAAACTTTTGAAATGTCAGTATTCTGCAACTTCTCGGATATTTCGAATAGTATACAAGTTTTTGTTGCTGTTGTAGCTTCGGATATAGCTTTTTTTCTGAATATGCTGTAGGGGCATTTATAAGACTGTTTTGCAGGCCAACTTGTTTGGACATAAATACTTGTTTCTTCGTTACGTCTTATATTTGCTTTAAAACCATAAGATATCATGTGTAATTTATTTTCGATCGTTTATATCGTGTTTCTATTCCAATTTTGTTCATAAAGGCGTTTTCACGTTTAAAATAATGGTTTAATTTGTCGTTGACAATTAAACATCGAGTGTAATTGGGTGGATGCTGTGAGTAATTGTCTCCTAGCTGCCCCAATGGTCCAAATTAGTGGAGCAGTTCAAAGGAACAATCACTATAATATATAAGGTACACATTAAAACCTTTACAATTTCTTACACATTTCTACTTACCTAAAATGGCAAACACGAAATTCGAGTAACAGATCCATTTTTCTAAAAAAATTAAGAAATTATTAGTAGCAATTTCTAATAAGTTTTTCAATTTTAAGTACTCTTAGTGAAATTTTCGCTATGAAAATTCTATTCGAATACATGTGCAATGTAATTATTCAACTACTTCACTTTTTTTGTGGCCTGCAACAAATTAATATAGTTTCTTGTGCATTTTTGATACTGCATATTAATGTTGCTTGTGAAATTATAATTTTTCGAATTCATTTAATTACTTTTATCAATAGTCTTTTAGGAAAATCATACTATTTTGACACATTTAAGGCTAACTAATGCAAATTGTTTTGATGAATTAGGTACAAGTTTAAATGCTAATTTAAAGTTCAGATTTTTATAGCACTTGCTATAGATTAATGCTCTGCTTTATCTTCCGTTTAACACCATATATCATCACCATCTCACAGGTCCTTGTAGAGACCCATTATTTCTGTATAGCTTTTAAACAACAAGGAGCTTGGGGTATAACTACAAAGTTATAATCTGGATGGAGATATATAATTCAAAATTTGTTGCACTCGTGTAAAATAGACACAATCGGCAGAACAAACCAGCAATTTATAAAGTAATCGTAGAAAAAAATTGCACGAATCTGCTATACTCACGGACAAACCAGTGAAACAAACCAACGAATTGAAGTATAAGAAAAGAATTAGAAAATCTGCGAAAATTGCAAAGAGTAATTGAATGTGAACGATGGAAAGGTTGAATCCGATTAACGGAGTTGCCCATTTAACTCAAAATATTTCACATTCTAACATGTACTTCTTTTGACAGGATTCACTAAGGGCTCAGAATACCTTGAACGAAGCAGAATAAATAGCATGGAAGTAGTTTGATTCAATATATTGTCGATATACGAAAAGGTTTCCACATTGCATATATATTAAGCTTCTAAAAACACTACACATTTTGCCATTTTTAAAATTATTGTAATATGAACAGAGCAAGTTATAATTGAAGGTTTTCGTTTTACTTGCCGATTTTCTCCACCTACTACGCGTATGGCGCTCCTCTTTCTTTCTTCAAAAATTTCTTTTATGTACACTTCGCAGTTATTCATTGCTTCATTATCTTGTATTCTGCTGTACACAGCCTTGCACGCACATGATGTACATTGGGGTAGAATCCCTAAATACACTGTTATTGCCATATTATTTAATTTTATGGTAATTTTCAGTAATGTTTTGGTTTTTTTCCCCTTTTATAGATATAAATCTCTAATTTCTATATTTTTTATTACATCGTAATAGTTAATATAATATCATTAGGTGGATTTTTCCGTTTTTATATGTATAAGAATATTTTAATTATAATTATTTATCACCCTGGTTGTTCACAATTATTATATTTTATATATACCTTCTTTTTAATTTTTAATTTGATATCAGTGGAGTATCTCTCGGCAGTAAAAAAAATTTGGCTAAACATTCAAATATTCTATATTAAATATTAGATGCACGAAAAAGTCTACAGCCTTCGTTTTTAAGAATCCTAAAATCTATATAATATTATTATCAGGTTAATACAAAAAATTAAATAAAAAAAAGAATCATACAAAACAAAAAGTTACGGTTCAAGGTAATTTCTTATTGTAAAATAAAAATTATATACGAATTTGAAAATATATACAGCGTGACCTCGTAAATTATATACAGAAACAGTGTTCAAAATTCAAAATTTCAAAAGAGCACCGACATTAAAAATGTGAGTTGTAGGGAAATCGCTTTAAAATTTTGAACACTAAAAAATCTGAATAAGATCGGAATAAAAATTTTCGCAGCTACGAAATTTTTGCCCAATCGACTCGACCAACATTCTAAAAAAATTTAATCATATGAATTGAATTCTATTGTATTAAAAAAATATACAAAATCAAAAACAAAACTTTACCAAACCCCCTAGTAAATATATTATATGTAACTGGTGAATTGTTAATATCTCTCTAATTGCGGATGTAAAGAAAATATTTCCTGAGGTGAAATGTATAAAATCTATTTCAACTTAATTTCAGTTAAAATTTTTTTTCATATATTTTACTGCGTTAATTCTTCAATTTTATCGTAATTGTCTGTTAATTTGAACAAAGTATGGTAAATGTATAGCTTAGGTCCCCCAACTAAAGAGGCCTCAAAAATGTAACTTTCGTCGTTTAATGGAACTTTCGTCTTATTTTTATTAAATCTATTATTTTTTAAATTCAAAAAAAAAGTTTTTTTAATTTTTAGAATAAATATGCATTCAAAATAAAAAATTGTGATACATTTAAATTAATTCTTTTATTTTTTCCGCTGCTGAAAGGAGTTGGACCGACCAGGTTTATTTTTTTGAAGCGAGGCCGAAGGCCTGCAGTGCGGAAAGGAGTTCGACGATCTCCGATATTCGTTCATAGATCGCGGCGCAAAAGAAATTGTGACTGAAACATTTCTATAGTTTTTTTCGCAAGGAAATGTTTAGCTCACTGAACTGGTAATTACAGCAAAGTGATCTAAATTCTGCAAAATTTTGCCGTTACAACAACATCAATAAAGTGACTTGAAAAATATGTGCAAAGTGCCTTAAATATGTTTGTAAATATATACATTAATTATTGAAAAAATTCACTTTCCGCTCATGCATTTGTAATATTCGCGTAAAAATAAAACGATTTAAAAAATAAGTTTCATTTTTGAGGCCTTCTTAGTTGGGGGACCTAAACTATACATTAACCCAAAATATATCTTTATTTCACTTCTAACGATAAATAGTTAAATAACATATAATTATCCAAATATATGTAAACAAATTTGGATACCATTATCATAAATTTCAACCAACTCACATGCAGATGGCAACACTTAAGAGTCTACTTTGCTGCACATTGCTTTTATGGATTTTTACTTCAATATTTTAACACATTTAACTTACCGGCCCCTGTTTATAATCGAAGAAAGACTTTACTTTAAATATTCACATGATGTGCTTAGATATTAACAAATTCCAGAAACTGCTACTTTCCTCTGCTTTATTATGACAATGCCACTCAGAAAAATCCACCATCCACAATTGCAACTCTGCTCTATCCCTCATGAACATAAGCCCCAAAAAGAGCTTTGCACAATTTCGAGTTGAGAGCAGTTCACTTCCCACCGATTTTTTGTGCCTTCGCGTGCTTCTTTCTTCATACACACACATACACTAATTGCACACGTTCCTTCTTTGTTCTCTTTACATTTACATTCTTATTATGCTACACACCAGTCACATACATATCGTTCATACATTAGCTTCTTCACGTTATTTATCGCTTCTCTTCTTTCGCGAAGCAAATATAAAACTGTAATAGTAAAACAAAAATTCACTACAATTTTATGCACTTTTTCAAGAATTTTCTGTAAACTTATTGTCTTCATTTATAATATCCCAAGAACTAACTGCGAAGGTCGCACTTTCCTTCAATGCGAACCATTTTTTTACGTAGCTATTACCTACACTAGCTAAAAGCTCCTCTGGCTGCTGGTTGCTGGCTGCTACTTCGCTTCCTCAATTTTACTTTATTGCTCCTTCTCAGTAGTTGCCAGACTATATGTGTTTCCAATAATGTACAATGTTTCGCTGGATTTTCTTTAAAAAATTTATCGTCACTTAAAATGCTAAAAATCGTATCATCAAAAGACGGAAAATTATGAGTTTGAAGCTTTAGCTATCAGATATATCCATGTTATAACCTCAATTAGAATTTTATCACCATATGAAGAGTTTAAATAAAAACTCGTTCATTTTTTCCTTCTCCTATAAATTTATGTAAAATTACTTTACGTTATTTTGTATAATAGGTGCCGCTTATTAGGCTTGAATACAAATCCATTGTAAGAATTGTTTGATGTTTCCAGAATGTTTGATGTTTATAGTTAAGATAACACAATTTGCTTTGCCAGTATAAAAAAAAATTGGCAAGTATCAGATAACTTCATGTTTCTGAAAATTAAAGCAGAGAATGTAAAGAATATTCATTAACATTCTCTGGTATGGCATCTCACCAAGTTTGATTGATTCGAAAATGCTGTAGAATTCGAGATCCAATTGATTAAAGAAAAACGAAATAAGACACAAAACAAAAGGAAACTCGAAAATGAAAATCAGTACTAAAAAGAGGCAACCGCTAAACATTGAGTGTAGTACAGAGTAAAAAGCCGATTGTTGTTGTGTTCATGCACGTGGGGGTCTTGAAGTTATTTTTGTGAATTATTTGCTAAGATAGAGCATAGGGCTATTGCTAGAGTGTCATCTTTTCGTAATAGTTGAAGAAAATGGGTAAAACCAGGCGCAACCGCGTACGCCTTGTGGCCAATTCGAACCCTTTAGGTTTAAATGGTGTTGGCGATTTTTTGAACGACGATGAAGATTTAATGGAAAACGGCTTGGGTCCAGTGGATACAATACGTGAGCAACTGCTCAATGTTAATGTAGAGGAAAAACTGAATGCTTTGCAATCACTAGCGGTGCTAGTGCAATCTGGCAAAAAAGATAAATTAACTGCCATTTGTCAGAGCGACATTATACGCATATCTGCACCATATCTTTATGATCGCGACCAACCTTTGCGGAATGCAGCTGCAGGTGCCCTACGCAACTTTACCGTTTGTATGCCAGTAAGTTATACGTGGAACGTTCAAATTTCGTATTGAATAATTTTAAATCGGATTGATTTTATGCCCTTTAGGAAGTTTGTGAACTATTTGTTGAACAGGATGTACTCACCCCACTTTTGACTTTGTTGAATGAATACGCCCAGGATGGCGAATGGGTGCCAAACTTCGATGCTGCATTGGGTCAACTTGATATACGGTCGGACACATTTTTGCAGGCTATAAATCTTCTTTGGAACCTATGTGAAAGTTCTACGCTTGCTTTAGAAACCTTTAATCAGTCACAATTAATTAGCAGTCTTATACGTTGTCTGGATTACAACATTTTCGGTTTGGATATAGGAATTTCTGTAGCGCAATGCTTATTAGTCGTGTCGGAGAGCAATCAAAAAATTTGGAATCCATTAACTCAGCATGTCCCTGAAATATTAAGTTTGCTTAATGTTACAGGCAGTAATGCACACCAATACCTACGAACATTAGGCGCTGGTATCTAATAATTTTGTAACAAAATATACATTTTTCACATCATTACGCTTTTTTCAGGTATTTTATCAAATGTGCCAGCTTTGTCAGCTGCATATACATGCAATATATTGAATAGCATCTCAGAAACCTTACAAATCGATCAACAGGAAGCATTGGCGAATTTGTTGACTAATCATAGAGAAAATGATCAAAATGAAAGTATATCAGTAATGGATTTCAATGTTGAAATGGAAGAAGGTACGGAGTAGTAATTGGTATACACAATATTATTTATGTATTCAATTAAATTGATTAATATCTTTTAGAGGAGACCGAAGAAAGCGCCGCATTGCGAAGACGTCAACAAGAACTTCCTTCACCGGCTGAAATTGCAATCAAGGATGTTGGGAACTTATTGGATGCGCAGCGCGTTGCCGCGGAAATAATCACGAACTTAGTATCGAATGATGAAGAAGGTAACGCGAAACCGGTTTTCGAAATAAAAAGTTACATTGGTATTGTTTTGCATAGTTTTGCCAAAAAAGCACTCAGAAAAATAAACAATACGTTTCATATTTGGCTTTTAGTTTTTTTTCATACATGTTTGTTATAATTATTAAAGAAAATGTTTTCTGCGACAGAGTGGGTTGATTCGGATGGCGATGATGCGTCAGAAGGTGAAGGTGTTATAGACTACGAATATGAAAATGCAAATGGTAATGGAAATATACAAAATGAAGATAAACTCCCCGAAGCACTTGTGGAAGTTATTAAATCGTTAAGCATTATTGAGAAGGTGAAAAACGCTAAATTAAAAAAATATGAAACATTTTTTAATACAAAAATATGCATATTTTTTCTTTTCTTTACAGCTTTGGAAAAAAGCACAAGTTTTACCTGATAATGTTGCGCAATCCTTGAGGGATGTGAGTGTGTCATTGGTTGTGAAGTAAGTAGCGACTCCTCCACATTAAGATTTTTTATTCTTTGAACAAAATATATTAAGTTTGCTATAAAAATATATACATAAATGATTAGCATGACGAGCTGAGTTAATTTCACCACGTGAACTAATCTCTTAGTTTTTGAAACACCGCTCTGAAATTTTGCACACAACATTTTCTTCTCAGGAAGCTGCTCTTATGTCGGAATTGCCGATATCGGACAACTATAGCCTATAGCTACCATACAAACTGAACGATGAAAAACAAGTTCTTGTATGAAAAACTTTCTTATTTGAAAATATATATTCTTGAATTTCGGTGTAGATTATTATCCAAGGCATCGGTACGAAATCTGCGAAAAATTGTTCCGATCGAACTACTATAGCATATAGCTGACTGATCGATCAAAATCTTCTTCTTGTATGAAAACTTTTTTTTTTACTTGTAGAAGATATAGCTAACGTTTTCTTGTCGTTTTTTCTCATTTACCAATATTGTGGATATATATTATAGAGTAAAAAACTTGCGTGTTTCATCTTTACTTTGCCTACAAAACCTGTGCAACGCTTTGAGCGCAGAAGACCTTGGTGGCGCCAAAGCAATCTATGATGTTTGGGTGGAGCTTGGCCAGCAGGTGTTTAAGGGTCCGCAAGACGTGTCTGTTATGGAACCGGCTACATCCCTAATGCGTGCTACCTTAGAACGACTTAAAACCAACAAAGAGCTGTTCAGTCAAATGGTTGAAAATGACTTAGAGGTATACATTAATTATTCTCACCAATAATATATATACAATTTTCTTAAAAATTTCCTTAAATTTACAGTTAATTTTCAATGGTGTAAAGAACTGCAGTGTGGCAGAAATACGTGCGAATTGGTTGCGTATGTTGGGCACATTGGGTTGCCTGTTGTCAGAAAATTTAGTTCGCATAATCATCACATTCATCGTGGAAGCATGTTCTGAAGTAATAAAAGAAATATTTCTTTGGTTTTATTGTTAACTAATATCAGTAATATTTACATTTCAATTTAGGAGGAGGATGTGTGGACAATATCCGAAGCACTTGATGCATTAATGGATATGTTTGCCGACAATGATTGGCCTAAACTGATTATCGAATTAAATTTACCAGAAGTGTTAAAAAAATTGGAGAAAATGTTTAAGAATAAGGTAACAATATTATTTGATTTAAATTCGAGGAACTATTTACATATGTGTTATTTTGTGGACTGAATATGTATAATTTCTTAACAATTGCAGATGCGCCAGCAGCGTCGTGATTTGAAGGAGCGTTATCCAGCTGTGCAGACGGTGCGCACAAATTTAACGCGTTTCATTCGATATATGGAAACCGAAGCTGATAAATACGCGAGAAACGCGTAATTTTCGTAAAGATGAAAATTTATTACATAACTTCCAGATTCATGCAATGTAGATAAAACACAAATTTTTCTATTTCTATTTGACAATAAACATTTTTAAAAGAAAACACATTTTAACACACTTATCTGAAGCAGGGTCGCTCCAAAAACGTAACGTGGACTAGGTTTTCTCGGTATTCGGATCAGCCGAAATAAAAAAAATTCATATTGCATAATTAAGTCACAGCATTGTTAGTCATTCCAAAAAAAAGGTTGGGGGGAGGTTGGTCAGACTGGGAGTCATGCTGTCTGTGTGAGCTCCTTAGGGCCGTGGAGGTTCTATCTTGGCCACTCGACTGGAGTGGCAGCGCAGTGCGCGAACATGGTGCAGGTTGCACAACCTTTGAGGCAGATGTCGCATTATTGCGTTGACAGCATGGGGCCACGTAACTTGTGGTCCACTCCCTGTGTGTCTTAAGGCCTGAACAGGTCTTAAGATGGCTCCATCCATTGCATGTATTGCACCTAACCGAGGTGAAGTTTGGATGGAGCCTTTTAGCGCAAACGCAGCAGTAGAATTCCTCGGGGCCCGGGTTGGACTCGATGCCAGCACGGGTCAGGAGGATACGGAGCAACCCTGCTGCTAGGCGTTGCTCCAATGACGACAAACTTAATCTAAAACTCACCGATCCAAACAGGGTTAGATCGCCGAAATAACAGCCCTTGGCCGGATAAAATCCGGGTCAATTCCAGTACCGCAGAACCGGCTGTTGTGAGTCAAACCACCACCCATAGCAGACATAGAGCTCGAGTTGCCTCGCGAAACCAGAGTGATCCTCGCGCAACTTCGTTCCGGATACTGCAGCAGGTTTAACTCCTACTTATCCAGAATAGACCCCGACATACTAAACACATGTCCTGCGTGCAATGAGTCTCCGCATGACACTAACCACCTCTTTGCATGCCCAACAAACCCCACTCATCTAACACCCTTCTCCCTATGGTCCGACCCCGTCGAAACAGCTCGTTTCCTTCACACCGTAAATTTTGGGAAATGCAAAAAATTATTTCAAATTTTCTAGCGCCAGGTACATATGTATGTACGTGCCTCGTGCACAGTGTGCGTGTAAGTGTACAAATATTTCTCGTTCAAATTTATTGTCAATTATATATTGTGCGATATACATATACATAAATATACAAATATATACATACATACATATATTAAGAAAACAGTTATTTGTTATAATACCCAATAATTTGAACTAGGTAAAATATATTCATTTATTTAGTCTAATAACTAAGCAGACAATTGCACATTTAGCTCAGTATAACAAAGTATTGTATAAAGTACCAGTTATGTTAATGATTAATATAAATATATTTAAATTTAATTAAATATATGTATTTGTATGTTACCAGCTTGGCAGCCGTACCGTTATGCGTTAAGTGGGGCCAATATTGCATTTCAGATCCTGCACGCATCTAATCGATCACTCACATATGTATATGAGTACATACACACATACGTACATACATACGTATATAGATATCCTTGGTAGATCTCTTTGGTAGATATAATGTTCATTTATTAAAATAATGCAAAATAAAATTATTATAATTATTAACAAATGTTTGCTTGGAGCAGAGTGCACCATCAAGTACAATGTAATGAAGAAGAAAATAATATGGAGCACTCTGTTAATAAACAAATTTACTCATTTAGTGAGCACGCTATTGAGCACACATAGCACCTCTTATGGATAAAAAAAGTAGCTACCGGAGGTCTCACAAAAATATAAATATATATTCGCCTAAAAGTATGCAATATACTGCCATACAATATACAATAATTGCCGAGACACCAAGTACATATAACTTCGGGCGCATTCTTCAATTTAAGAAAATTTCCTATTCTCCACACAGTTACAAACGTCTCTTGTAAATTACATTATTTCATCCGAATGTGGTTAAGAGGTTTATGAAAGCTTTAATTTCACTTTAAAATTACTACGACGGGTAAACAAAATCATAAACGAACTATTCCCTCATTGTTCTGACAAGTTCTTGTTACGCTTCGGTTTCGGCACCGGATTCCAATCGAGATTGGAAGCTGTTGGCGATTGTTCTCTATAGTCATATTGCATCTCTTTCTTTACTGTACATTTCTTAAATATTTCATTATTGTTTAATTTTTGTGGATCTTGTGCCAGACCGCTGCCATTGCCGTTTACATTATCATAATCATTCAATGGTGTTACAGCTGCCGTCGATGTTGTAGGTAAATCGTCGTTTTGCCCACCAGACATTGTGCCATTACCGTTAAGTTCTGTGCGTTGTATCTCTCTGGCGAGATTTCTCTCAACCGCCGACGGACCGCTAAACTTGCGCTGTGGTAAAGGTGTACCATTACCGCTGCTCGGACCGATGGATAAACTCGAACCGTTGTGTGCTGTATCTTTGTGCGCGGATGCGTTTAATAAACGTTGACTTCTGTTGATCGATTCAATGATATCCTTGACAGACTTACGTTTTTCGGGTGGCACATTCTTTTCTAGTGGTGCTAGCGATGATTTCTTCCATTCCAGGTATGAAGGGTTCGGTTTTGGTCGATATAATGACTCGAGTACTTCCTCTCGCAGCTCTGTGGGCGATTGTGTTTGATGCACGGTTGCCGTCACATTTGTAAGTACACTGTTCTTAATGTCATCACTAAAAGCCTCTTCTTTCCCTAGTAACTTGTCGTCTGATTCCGTGATGGTTAGCGCTTGTGCGGAAGTGGTGGGTACTACTTCTGCTTCTACTGGACTTTCTGTGTTTGTTGTTACTATATTTAACGGTTTCTCTGTGTCGGCTTCTTTCGAAACTAGTTTGTGTGCATGTTTCGTAAGTGTGCTTTGACGTACTGGTGGCACGGGACTTATTGGCGGCTCTCGATGTTCTCTCAGTATTTCCTTATGTTCAACGGTTGTTGTGCTTGTAATACCTCTTGCTGGTTTGTGAATTTCAGCAATGTGTGGTTTAGTGGCCAGAGCGGGTTTCACAGCATTTGGTGATGTTGTAGCTGTAGGTGTGGTGATGTCCTCGGTAATTCGTAGCTCGTCAGTTTCTGGGAATTTCAACGGTTCCGTAGTATGTAATGTGATTTTAGCTTTCTTGGTGGAGTCACGTCGTGTCGTAGGCGGTGTAGTAAGAGTAAATGATGTTTTTGCTGTAATCGGCTGTTTTGGTTCGGGCGAACGAGTTTGACTGCTTCGAAAACTTGTCAACTGGCTGGCTTCGTTGGACCGTTTAGCCGCTGTTGGAGTTTGTGGACTACCCGTGTGAACATGTATACATTCCACATGTCCCACTTCCTGCTCCTTGTTAAGTTGCGGTTGATTTGCAGGTATTGGCACTTTGATGCTGTCGGGTTCTAAACTTTCTTTCGTTTCGACCGTAACACTTTCATCGAACTTTTGTTTATTCGCAATCGCAGTAGTTTCTAGAGTTACTTGGCTCGAACTTGGCAACGCATCCTCACGTATAGGGTTAGCGACGCCATTTTGTTTTATTACGACCTCACTAGTAGTCTGTTCATGTTCCGTCTGTTGATTTATTGTTGCGATTGGAGTTGGTTCCGCTGTGTCTTCATTTGTTGTTTTAACGAAATTTTCTATAGCAGCTGTAAGATTTGCAATGTCCATGCATTCTTCTATGCGCAGTTCAGGAAGGGGTTGTGGCGGTTGTGACATATCGAGACTAGAATCCGCAGACGAGTACGTTTTGTTGACCTATTAAAAAAAAATTTTGTTTAAGAAAGGTTAGTATAAAGTAGTATAAGATTATATAAGATTGCTCTAAAAATATGTTTTAAATTTTATAATACAATATTTTATTAATTATATTATAAATATTAGGTATATTTTCAGCCTTTGACTAGGTTAATGAATTTAATTTTGGATACACTATCACTCTGCAAGTAACCTGAGTTCGATCATCCAAAAGGGATGCATGGTAGATAAGAATAATCTTCATATGGATTATTTAGCCTTCCAGGCATGTTACAACAATATGATAAGAACTTTGCTAGGGGATACTTATGTATATTAAAAGAGTAGGGTAATTACGAAGAATATTGCCATCGAGCTTATATTACTTTATTTTACATCAAGGATTGACCCAGTATTCCTTTCCTACATATGTATGTATGTAGTACATGCAAATACCTCAGTCAATAATAGATTGAAAAGATCGTATTTTTTTAAAGCAAACGCTTATTAAGGGCGACACAATGTTTATGATGTTTTTCCAACCTTATGATATCTTTTTTAAAAATATCACTAGGGGTCAGATCCGGAGATTATAGGCAAGCAATTCAAAATCTTATAGAAACAACTCGAACCTTTCAGTCTGTCCTAAAATATGTTATTTTTATAATTTGCTGTGTAAAGTGTGAATTACAAAACTTTTAATACAAATTTTGATCAGCGATGAAGTTCACAAAATTATCGCATTTGCAGTGATTATAAGCTATTGTTGAGACACCGTTACATCCTCAAAAAAGTCACTGTTTGGGGTTATCTATGTGCAGAGAGAATCATTGGTCCATATTTCTTCAAAAATGAAGCCGGCCATAACGTTACAGTCAATGGGGAACGCTATAGAGTGATTATTAATGACTTTTTCGTACTTTAATTGGAAAATGTTGATGTGGACGACCTTTGGTTCCAACAAGACAGCGATACATGCTATACAGCCAACGAAACAATCAATTTCTTAAAGGAAATTTTTGTTGAAATTTCGCGTTCGTGTGGCCTCCAAGATCATGCGATTTAATATCGGTAGACTATTTTTTGTGGAGTTATGTAAAGTCGCTTGTCTAGGTATGTATATAAGCAAGAGGCGATTGACGAATTGGAAGAGAACGTTCGGTGCGTTATTACTGATGTACGGGTTATTCGGTTGGAATTTATTCGACAAGCCGCGGTGATCACTTGCCCAAAATCATTTTTAAAACATAATGGTAAATTCTTAACTTTATAAGAAAACCTAATTTATACGTGTTTTATTTCTTCTTGAAAACTACATGTCTAAAAAATACCCTTTATAATGTATTTTTGGTAGATATCTACATAAGAGGCAATTTAAATATGCACCGATGTTTGCTGTGAACGTTACCATAAAAACCTTTTGAGACACACGCAACACAGTGGACATCAGAAGAAACACAGCAATTCCATACCAGATTTCAAGCGCTTTGGCTTTCAGCTCGTTATTAAGCTATCACGCTGTCAATATGAATAAGCGATTTAAGCTAAAAAACCTATTATAAAGTTTCATTCTAGGGACTTGGGAACACACAGCATAGGTCGAACTAAGAAAGATAGTGACAACATTGAGACTCAAAGCCTCGTAAACGAAATGAACTGTCAAACTTTCATTCACGATGTCAAAAACCAATATACCTTTCTTGCAAACGCATTTAATTTTACCTTTTTTCAAGTCTTTTTAGCTTAAAAGTTTACCGTAATCGATAAGGTCTTACAAACTTCGTGGCAAATTTAATATACCCTGTTCATGTGGACAGTCCCTGCACACCTGCAGTCTCTTCCGCACGCTCCTCCGCTTTTCTTTTTGAAGCAATTTGGCGCGAAGAGCAACTTCCGGACGAATGATTAACAAGCATACTGGTTAAGGTTCCCAAAGATGGCACATTGATCAGCATGCCATCAAAAATAATAAAAATAATCCGAATAGAGGCTCATCTTGAAGCCTTGCTGAGGAAGCTACAAGCATGCCTTCGAACAAACAGATCTTGTCACACTCCGAGTCATAATGGAGCAAATCAACGAATAGCAAGTGAATATCCACACCTGTTTTGCAGACTTCAGCACCGCTTTTGAGAGTATAGAATGCACTCTTATCTGGAACTCGTTATATTCAAGAGGTATGTCAGAAAAGCTCATAAACATGATCAAAGCTCATTACGTAGGTTTTGAATGCAATATCTTACACAACAAATCAGACCTCGTGTTTACAAAGAATCTTAAGATCTGGTGGTCTCGTATCATATCCAATCAAGATTTACTAGAAAAAACTAACGATCTACCTATAGAGCTAACAATCACATACACTATTTTATTGGAACCTACAAGGGTCAAGAAATCGGGAACATCCGAAAACTTCGTGGTGACTTATGGTAGATGCCAACTTAAAAGACTCTCATACTAACTGGAATAGTATATCGCAACTCGCAAATCGGAAAGACTTTGAAGATTTTATTTTGGCCCTACGCTTCAACCGGAGTTAAAGAAAATACTATATATACATATGTATGTATGTGTATCAGTAGTGAATATTTGACCTTTTAAAAATAAACGGAGTTTATGAATTATATCTTACCCCAACGGTTGGCGGCGCAGGTGCACGACGTTTTTTACGGTGTATTCGTTGTTTAATGGGTGTTGAAGTGATCATCTCTCTGTCGCCGGCCAGTGAAACATCTTCATTATTTTCGTAGTCATCATCATCAGTTTCAAATGGATTTGTGCTTGCCATACTAATTTGCGATGATCTAATTGAGTGTTTGGCGAAAAACGAAAAAAATGCACAATTAACACTTTCACACAAATGCAATATATGTAAATTTATGTAGGTAAACATTGAAATATTAATTTAAATAAACAGGATTAGACATATTCACAGGTGGGGTGAGACACAATCGTTGAGTAATCCTTATCGATGAGAACAAATTATTACAAACGCACACATATACACATATTTACTACTTAAATCACATGTATAAACTTATATACATTTATATAATCGCGTTTATATTGCTCTAAATCCGCATTTTTGGTGATTTATACAGATGAGGAGTATGAATTTAAGACGTGTGTACAGGTATAATGGCACAATTGTGACGAGACATACATACATACGTATGTATTGTATATAACAATCAAACCCGTAGTTAATCACAGATTTAGAAGAAAGTTGTTGTTGTTATTCCCTTGGAAAAGTATTTCTTATGGCGCCAAATGTAAACGAAAACGAAACGGAACGTAATGTAGCGTGAACTCACCCATGTGATAGACCAATGCCTGCACCGATATCAGAATTACGGAGTGGCTGTGGCGTCACAGACCCACCGTACACATACCTTCTTGGTTGTGGCACCGGTGTTGTGCGTGAACTGTTATTGTTGTGATTGTTGAATTTTGTGCCCATCACCTGTATGGTGCTACGATACTGATTATTTCGATTGAAATCCAAATGTGAGCCACCATTTTCCTGCAAGAATTAATAATTGAATGCCATTTAAGATAAGTTAAGAAGTGCTAGTTTCGGGAACATCTGACAAATATTTAGTCTCTCAATATAAATTTGGATATAATACAACAGCATTAATTTAACTTATACTCAGTTATCAAGTCTTGATTTAATTATGATATCTTAATTTATATCTGAAATAGAACATATATCTACATGCATATATATTAATAGCAAGCGGACTGAAATAAATACATACATATATGTATGTATACGTCATTATATAGAAGTAGATATTGAGATATTTTATATTTTTTGGTTGTAATCTATAGTAAGCGAATCACCATGTGACCATTTTCTATTTCCAAAACTGCAATCAAACACGAAAGAAGCATTTTATGATGATATTCCAGGCATTCAAACAGCCGTAACCGAGCTGCTGAAGAACATTCCTTATGTCGGTTACTCGGACATACCTTGGATAATATAAATAAAAAAGGGCTACCAGAAGATGTAGACAAACTTTGTTAATTTTCGCATTCCACATGTTAATTAACAGTTTTTTATAATAGGTTGGGTGTGCTGCAATAGCCTTTGAAATATATACATATTAGAGAATAAGACCACTCCCACTGCAGAAATTTTAACATTCAATATTCACTGCGACTCTGTATTAAATGTATGTTTTTTATTTAAATATAAAAATAGGAAATTGGCGACTACGAGCATATTAGAAAAAAAATCGAAAAAATTATTTTTTGAGAATATTTTTTGATCAAGTTTGCCATTTCAGCTTCGAGTAAAAAAATCCAGAATTAAAAATCCTAAAGCGCCAACTATTTCAAACAGATTCTAGAATTAAAGTATCGATTATTCAAGAAAATTAATTCTGTTTGATTTTCTAGATGAATTCGTTGCGTTTATTGTAAACGTAATTTAAGCTTATTATAGGTAATGTTTTGATGAAATTATTGAAATGAGTTTTACATGATATAAGACACACGCCCTCTTACAGGCTATCTATGGATTGACGAATTTTCTCTTATTTACTATAAGCTTAGCTTAGGAATTTTTTTAAATTAAATGATTGAAATGAGCTCAGCATTCTTGATCTATGAATTGACGAACTCTATATAGAACTTAGGCTATAGTCTTTAGAATGCTTAAAACTATTTTGAAGGAACTCAACCGTGAACACTTTCGTGAAAATAACAATGTTATTATAATTTTAGTATAATAATGGTCTTCATGGGAACCGCTATATATTTGTAACGTAACTCTTTCCAATTATTGTTTTATATCCGTTCCTAGGCACTCATATTTATAACATGAAATAGCTTTTCAAAAAATAAGTAACTCATTCGAAAAAAGCTCTAAAGTATTATTTAACCTTAGTACTACAAAATTTGTGTCAATAACAAATTATTAAGCTTCATAATGTAAAATTGTTTAATATTCGAAGATATGATTCTCATTTGTTTTACCTTCGCAGAAGCCACGTTCTGTAGTGAACTCCTGTATGCCGCATTGCGTTGAAAGCTCTCATTGATGCCTGCTGGTGTGGAGTAACGAGTGCGATAATCGGGTAGGCTAAGATCATTTCCATTCAACGTATTATATGGCTGCAGATCTCGACGTAGTGGTGGTGGGCTTTCTGATGTTTTGTTTATGCCCAATGTTGAGGACTTCTTCTTAAGGCGAAATGACTTGAATGTCCTGAAAAGTAAAACAAACGCAGTTGAATAGCAAGTTTTGAATGGTTATACAATTAAAGTTATAATATTTTAAGCAACCAAAATCTTTTGAAGGACTCTTTGGACGAACTGATCTGCTTTTAACCCCACACGCAAATTTAAACTCAAGGAAACAATATTGAAAAATATACATTTTATATGGATGTAGTGCCGATCAATCGATGGATAACTCTCCATCCAGTTCAGTTCGACCAAAGAGTCCTTCAAAAGATTTTGGTTGCTTAAAATCTTATAACTTAGAACTCTTAGAACAACTCTTCTGACTCATGGAGTATATCTGAACCTGTGGCGGCAACATTCTGCTAAGTTGTTCGATAAAGGGAAACGTGGCTAGCAAAGCAGGCTAAGCTATCTTATCTTTAGTAGAGTTCCCACATCGATCGATGACGTGATACGTATCCTAAGAGAGGACACGTGAGTCACTACTGTACAACTCCAGTCTGGTCTGTACTACAGCTGGCTATATTTTTAAACAAATCTGATGATATAAATGACTCAACACAATACTTATACTAACAAAAACAAGAACACTTTCAAAACACGAATATTCTTCATTTCGAAATAATTTTTTTAAACTACATTATAATGAAAAGTATTATTTATAAAGTAACCTCAAATTAGTCTGAAAACAATATCTATTAAAAAGCCACTCAGAATGTGCTCGGCGCTCGCAAAAGCACTCGATACCCAAAATTGTATTTAGATACCGATAATTCTTTTTTCAGTCTATGCAGTACTTCCTAATACTAGTTCTTTACGGATGATTTTTTCAAATATAACTATCTTGTATATTAAAAAACAAGTTAGACTTTTTAAACTTCGATTTTGTAATTATGTTCAAACAATAAGTAGGCAAAGACTTGTAGCGCAAGCTCAAGACACAAAGTTATATACAATTTACTTACCACACATCCTTGAGACCACCCAAAGAAAAACTACTTCGCCGACCGCTCCCGTCATTAGATTTATTTATTTTCCAGAAACGCAAACGTTTGTGTTGTTCATCTTCGTAGAATGGATTGAGGTGTTCGGGGTAGTTATAGATGGATACTTGGCTTGTGGAGCGACCGTTTCGCATAACGAAAGCATCACCATTTAAGCTTGTCATAACGGCGGCAATCAGATGCCTGCGCTAATATCTAAAATATATAATAAACAAATGTAAAATATATAATATAATTTTATGCATTATATATTTGTGGACATCCATATTTTTTTGCTCTTAGTCAGCCCTTGAAATAAGAATAGAGGAAATCAAGATTCGTCAAATATAACGCAACGAATACTTTACGCTTAAGTACAATAATATTTATGTCCATAAATAGGTTTAATTGATGCTTACAGCTCGGCTAAGTGTTTAGCTAATCTTCAAACCTCCCCCCCTTTTGGGTTGGTTGTCTTCATTTAACCGTAAGTAACCGTAAGTTTAAGCAGACTTTAAACACACATTTCCAGATTTGGCAGCTTCTGAGCTCTCTACTCCATTCAACTTAAGTCCTACGTAGTGTAATATGAAGAGTTTCCAAAAGTACTTGTATATTTCTAGGAAAAGCTTTTTTTTCTGAACAAATGAATTTTTTACTAGAAAAGCTCTATCTTATTAAACATTGCATTTATCATTATTTTGGAAGTGAAACGAATGATTTATTAAGTGCCGCACTTATGGTGACAGACTAAAAAAGCCGATTTTTGGGAATTAAAAAAAAACTACTGTCAATTGTTCTAAATTGTTAAGGGTATATTTATACATATTTTAGGAATACACAGTAAGCTTAGGTTAGGTTACACTGGCTGGCTTTCACGCCATACATAAACCTCCTTTGTAAAGCCAGATGAATTTAATTTTTCATTCATAAAATTTAAGTAAACTTACAAGGTGCGTTCCAAAGTAAACAGTAAAAAAGTAACAAAGTAAACTCTAGTGGCGTCATCTATATGTCGACTAGTGCGTTAGAATCTGCTATCCTTTATCGATTTCCAGTAAAAATTTCATGACATTTCATCTATTAGAAGTGAAGTCATTGCGTTTTAAGTGTCAGTATGTGTGTCATGGTACGAAAATGAGCTTCGAACAAAGAGCCAACATTAAATTTTGATTTTTTTCAACTGATGAAGCAAGTTTATGGCGATGATTGCCTATCCCGTAGCAGAGTGGACGAGTGGTTTCAACGTTTTCAAAGTGGTCGTGAGGACATAAATGAGAAATGAGCCGAAACCCAAAAAATCGCGCCTGGAGAAGTCAAAAGTGAAGACAATGCTGATTTGTTTTTATGATTCCTAGGGTATTGTCCACAAAGGATTTGTTCTACCCGGCCAAAACGTTAATGCGGTATTCTACCTTGGAGTTTTGAAGCGTTTGGTGCGCCGTATTCGACGTGTTCGGCTCGAATATCGCGAAGATGGAAGTTGGCGTTTGTTGCACGATAATGCGCCGTCTCATCGATCGACGCTTGTGGCCGATTATTTGAACAAAAATCACATTTTAACAATTAACCACTCCCCGTATTCACCTGTTATGGCACCGTGCGACTTCTATCTTTTCGGAAATATGAATTTGCCAATGAAAGGAAAGCGTTATGCAGACGTGGAGGCCATTCAAAACTCTTGCACCGACATACTGGCGGCCATACCGGGCAACGAGCTAAACACTCGTTCGACATGCTTTTGTACCATGCAAAAAGCTGTATTAAAGCAGAAGGAGACTATTTTGAATAAAATTAATTGATTTTGCCGATAAAACCATTTGTTCTGTCTTTTTTTTTAAAGTCCTTTTTACTTTGGAACGCACCTTGTATATAATACTTTATGATTTCTCTAAATTGTTTGTACAGTTCATTGTACTAGCTTTGTCGATTTTTATGGCCAGGTATGAAAGGTCGATAGATAGACAAATGCATTAAAGGCGAGAGTACTGCCGCGTGGAACTAGGTATGATTTATATTGATAGAACAACTTGCTTCTATTTCTTGAATTGCCTTATAAAGTTACCGAGTGTATTGCGAAATTGTATAAGATTCTTAAAAACCCTATTATTCATTGCAATCTCTAACCCCAATCAGAAGAATATATTTGGCGAAACATCTTCTAAAAGTTTCAGCGCATATTGAAAGTAGGAACAGTTTCGATAAAAGCGAAAACCATTTATAAAGTTCGAATTAATTGCGATACGTGTGACAAATATTATAACCTTACTCTTTACATTAATGGTATTTTCATCTTACGTTTCATATGAAAATCACAAAATTTCTTTTTTTTTATTCTGGGAGTTTAATAAAAAAAACACCTTTGAACTTTTTTCGAGATATATTGTATTGATGAAACTTGGCAACATGTGTCTTGGCACCGTAAGACGGTTGATATTGTAAATGGGTGTAAACGGACCACTGTCACGCCCACAAAACGCCATTAACCGATACGATACCAATAAATAGCAAGACAAGTCGTTTTAGTACCCCTACCAACCGTGTGATAACTCCGCCTACTCCTCATATAACTCTTTTAATTAAAAATACTACAAGTGCGATTAGTCATAAAATAAACAAGCCAGATACTTAGAATTTTACATTTTGGATGGTACATATATAAGCTTTATATTTCAACCAAATTCGGTATATAACATTCTTCTGTCATTGCTATGTTACAGTGCGAAATCGGACTACAACCCCGAATACTTCCCATATAACACAATTTTAAAATCCACCTGATTCCTTGACCTTCTGGTATACAAATCAAGAAGCCATTAACATAACGGGATGAAACATTGCACGAATAATGCCTTTAAAGTACGCCACCGAATATGTGGACCCCAGTACCTACACTTGACTTTTTAATGAAAATATCGGTTAAGATATATAATTCAAATTCAGAGGGTAGTCTTTCCTGATACTAGTATGTTTGTGTGTCAAAAACGGGTGACTTTAATATATATATAATACATAACAGTGTATCTTTGTTACTTAAATGAATGAAATTGGGCGAAAACTTAACCTAGCCTCATATAACTAATATTAACCATTGGTGATGGTAAGTGAGGTACCTGAACCCTGGTAGCATTTTATTAGTCTGTGGCATGTTAATAGTATGTGGTATTGGCAAAAATAGATAAAATCGGGTCAATAATACCCCCAGCTATCATATCCTGCATATAATGATTTTTGTTTTTATACTCTTGCAACATGTATGCAGAGTATAATAGTTTTGTTCACCTAACGGTTGTTTGTATCAGCTGAAACTAATCGAGTTAGATATAAGGTTATATACAAATATATATAAATGATCAGGATGAAGAGGCGAGTTGAAATCCGGGTGACTGCCTGTCCGTCCGTCTGTCTGTCTGTGCAAGCTGTAACTTGAGTAAAAATTGAGATATCTTTATGAAAATTGGTACACATGTTTCTTGGTACCGTAAGACGGTTGGTATTGCAGATGGGCATAATCGGACCACTGCCACGCCCACAAAACGCCATTATTCAAAAACAAATAAATTGCCATAATTAAGCTACACAATATGATACAATACTGTTATTTGGTTCACAAGATCACATTAGGGAGGGGCATCTGCAGTTTAAATTTTTTTTAAAAGAGGTCGTGATCTCGCCCCCTAATAGATTTAATGTGCATATATCCTAAACCGCTAAAGCTATAACAACAACATTCACTGAGAACAAATTTTTTTATCGACAGTGTAAAAATGGATGAAATCGGGTGGCAACTCCGCCTTTTCCCCATACAGCGGTACTGTTAAAAACTTCGAAAAGCGCGATAAATCAAGCACTAAATACGCCAGAGACATTAAATTTTATCTCTGAGATGGTATGAGATGACTTTATAGGAACCACGTTCGAAATTAGATAGTGGGTTTAGCACCGTCCACTTTTAGGTGAAAACGCATTTCTTGGGATCTGCTTAACCGACTTCTACCAAATTCAGTATATAATATTCATCTCACACTTTTATGTTATAGTGTGAAAATGGGCGAAATCGGATTACAACCACGCCTACTTTCGATATAATACCATTTTAATCTTCATCTGATATATTATAATAATGCGATTAAAGTATTGCACCTTGTGACCAAAAATTGTCTAAATCAAACCAAAATTTTTCAAGCCCCTTGGTACTGAATATGTGGACCCCAGTGCCTATAGTTGACTTTTTCCCGAAAATATTGGTCAATGTGTAAGATACATAATTGAAATTCATATAATATAATACATAAATGAAACTCTCGATAATACATAGTATGTCTTTGTGTCAAAAATGGGTTGAATCGGATCAATACTTCCTTAAATATAAAATTTTGCCAACACCTGAAGTTATTTCCCGGGTTTTAATCCTTGCAAGTTGCGAGAGTATAAAATGTTCGGTTACAAAATTAGCCCTTCCATATTTTTTTTTGTTTTTTCATTAAGGCCAAAATGCGAACATCATTTACGCCTTATCGCTTGCACTTATGTTGTCGAAGAGGCTTTGCCTTTGCCTTTGCCTTTCATTAATTTTGTTCAAATTTATCTAACTCATTTTGTAAATTAAATATTATTTTTACTTGCCGCTCATTTACAGTTGCAAATATCGGACTTATGCAATTTTGTTTGATGCAATAAAGCAAAAACGAAAGCAAGGTAAACAAAAAAAAAGCGTTGAAAGAATTCGCATGGGTGCGATAAGATTGTAAGTGTATTAGCTTTGTGCGAAATCACATAAAAATATACATATTTATATATAACAGCAATATATATAAGTTATATATACATATATGTACATACTTATATTATACACGTAAATGTTATCGCTACATTTTTACAGAGGTGCACACTATCTAGCCTCTTCGCTTTATCAGCTTCGCAGTAACCACCTAACCTAAATTTTTCATAGCAACTGATAAATCATTACGTTTTTTATGCTCACATGTGTTACAGTGCAGTTGTCGCATGCCGGTCTCATAGCGCCAAAAGTAAGAACTCACACAAGTAAATAAAAAATGAATACCCAAAAATTTAGATCCACACCTTTTTTAATAACTAATAAAGAAATTAAATTACTACCAAACGTGATGCATGGACTTATATATTATATTATACATATTTCAACCAGGTAAATAAATATGTACATGGCTAAATGGAAGATGCTGTATATGGAA